TACAGACTACAGTCTAGACTAACAGGCTAGACCTCATAAACAACGTCTAGCTCTCCCTTCTACCTCTGGCCCCAAGCTACCCACTACATAACTAATACACTATTACCTGATCATGTCTCTTCCGCTAGCCCACCCACAAAGTTCCTAAACATCAGGCATAGTATCCGTAGCTGCCGGAGCAACATAGCCATGCTAGAATTCATTACTTAGAAAATGGTATGTACACCTCACAGAATGTAAAACTTACTTCCAACTGGGCTATCAGAGCGCTCCTATCCCAGGATCGTAGGCATTCCAAAAGATTTAAAGTTTCAATATTCATAGATCCTCGCTGGTCGGTGACTGTCAGTCTAGCTTTAGAGAAGAGTCGCTCTATCTCAGCAGACATAGGCGGAATCGATAGAATGTCGATGACCATCAAGGACAGGTTAGGGAATCTTCTTCGCTGAGCCAGTTCGAGCCACCATTTCAAAGGATCCGATATCATCATCACAGGTTCGCGACAGTATACTTCGTACTCGTCATCATCCATGTTCAAAATCGTGGCCTTTTGCTCTTTCATCTAGATCTTGTATCCATTCAGCCGTCTCGTAGTGGGTTCTTGTGCACCGCTTTGACGGAGAATGGGACTGGGTGTGGTTGGCTTGTATGTCTTGCTCCACAGCTGCTCTACACGGGCTTTAGCCTTCTCGATCCATTCATTCTTATCTTCCCAAGTCTTCTCCATATATGCCCACTTAAGCGAGGGATTTAAGACCGTTGCTGCTGAATATACTGGAGAATCCTCTGTCGCTTTATAATAGTCGGCTAGTTTGGCCCAGGTAGTCTCCATCATGGTCGCCAAGTGGGGGACTGCGGTGATCTCCCTGGACGTCTCAATGTGATGAAGAAGATAATCCATAGTTGGCAGAACGTCACATATGGAATTTCGATTGCCTTCGTTGGCCATTGTGGCATCTTGAAACGGCTCGAGAAATTTGCAAGTCTCGGTCAAAGTTGCCCAGTCGGAAGGAGTCAGGATATCCTGTTGCAGAGCCGGCTCTTGCGCACAAAAGATGGTGATAGATTGCCTGACCTTAGACCTCAGAGCCCATTCGACCATTTTGTACCACAAATTCCAACAAGTATCATTATCACGCCGTAACCTAAGACCGTCGCTAAGGATAGTGAACGCTTGAAGCCGCTGGGGGCTCCAAGTAATGTAGACGACGATATTATGAAGTTTGCCTATCGCTCCTCGCTTTCTCCATTGCTCAATTTCCTCGTCGGACGGTCCATGGTAGGAATCTGTTGTGGGTGGTCGCTTTCCTATGAGAAATTCCATTACAGCCAGATTAATGATATGGCCCAAATAGCGAAGTCGGTAAGGAAGAGGGTCGTAGAAAACATCGAACTCATGTTCCAAGTCATCGGAGACTTTGTCCATTATGGTATTTATATTGCTAGTATTATCCATCATAAAGTATCCAACTTTAGACGCTATTCCATATTCTCATATAAACTCCATGATAGCTTCTGCTATATTCTTGCTGCTATGTTATCCTTCCAGCTTCTTTATTCTTACTACAAGGGACTACAGACCGTAATCTTCAGAAACAAACTAAACTATAAAACTAATAACCCCTAAGCAATTTAGAAATATCCAATTATCAGGAACAATATAAATAGAGGAAAGGGCATTTTATAAGGCTTACTTTACAAACTCCTTTTTGTTGTCATAATCCCATTGTAAGTCAGCTTTAACCATATTAGCAGACCTCGGGAGGAGGTTATTTACAACCAAGTAAAGATAGTAGATAAAGTTACAAAAGGCAGGCTATTCAACATAAGCAAAGGGGAGGCTATAAACTACTATATAGCAGTAGTATAACTCGTGCAAGGTAGCTTAATCCAATACATCTCCCTCTGCTATCGCCTTGTGCTTCTTAAAGGGGATAAGAATATCATTAGTTATAAAGGTAGTAATATCTCCAAGGCGGCTTTAAGTCGTCGCTCGGCGGTTATCTTGCCTCCCGAAGACCATGATTCTATGCTTCTTGCGCAAATAATCAATAATTGTAGATGATCCACTAGAGTAATTATATCTCTTCTTTCTTTTCTTATTGAAGTAGGGCTAGCAATGCCACCATTTCCATCTATTGGAATCAACCCAGGCTATAGGTAATATCTTGCCCTCTTCTATTCAACAATACTTCCAGATGGGAGATGTCATCTAGCGGGGAAAGCTATCAGTCAACAGCAACGAGGAAGGTACTATAGAGGAAGTGGCTACATTAAGGTCGGAATCATCTAGATAGTTAATAGCATTATCAAGAGTACTAACAGGATTACTAATAGAAGATATAATTCAGTTAGGCGGCAAGTAGACAAGAGATTTGCATTCGTAATAGCAGTATTATAGTTAGAGGGAAATTGCTAGAGCAGAAGACTTGTAGTTAACGATTTTCTCCTTCAATATGTAGGAGTAGCAGACTTGAAGTGCGCGAACCCAACACTCCGATTAATCATACCAAATACAAAATAAACGCATTGATAAAAACATCAATTTTGGGGGACGCGTTCCTTAGTCATAATACATCTACAGGGCTTACGGGGTGCCAAGGTGCGACCGTAAGGGTGAGGTGGCGTTACCAAATTAGTGAGAAGAATTAGGTTGATAGTGGCTGGTGATTGCACCTTCAGCCACGAAACTACCCTACAGTCAGACTAATAGTCTGACTGTTAGTCTGGAATTCTCAGACAAGGACCACTGGTCAGTCTGGAATTCTCAGACTGGGACCACTGCTCAGTCTGGACGAGTCAGACTGGACTATCGGTCTGGCCCGAGACATACAGACTAGACTAATAGTCCGCGGACTATTGGTCTGGACTATGGTCTGGACTAATAGTCCGCTTAATGGTCTGGACTATTGCGAGCGCTGCTCTAGAGGGCTTCGTTTTTATGGCCGGGTTGCGTTCAATGAACTGGGGGACCCAGTTGTGGCCGATGGGCTCGTCATCGCTGGCACAGCCAGTGTGAGAAATAGGCGGTTCAGTCCAGTCCAGACACCCTGGACTGGACCGCCTATGTAACAGGAAGCACTGAACTGGACCGCCCAGCAGTCCAGAGGCCTTGAACTGGACCGCCTGCCATAATTGGACTGGTACCAAGGTCAGACTAAAACTTGGTATGGCGATGAAGTTTCGGTGTTGTTGTGCCTAGGTATGCTTTAGCAGCTGCCTGCGCAGCCAGCCTGCCACACGGCCAACTTCTTACTCTGCAATGTCTGCTTTAGGGTAGATTTCGAAGGTATGTAGGCTGGTCAAATAATCATATTTTCCACCAAACTCAACCAATCAGATTGCACTATTTACTCACCTAACAATATGGGCCTTGAATGGGCGGTCCAGGCGGTCCTATGACCTTGGACTGGACCACCTGGTCCAGAAATTTTGCTGGACTGGACTGGACTGAATAGGCGGTCCAGTCCAAGAGCCCATTATGGACCGCCTATTTCCCACACTGGGCACAGCTTATCATGAGCTGTGCAAAGCCACGGATTTGACCGTGGCTAGGAGCCCGGCCGGCTACCTCTTCTTGGAGGATCCATTCGACTAATTCAGTCTCTTGATCCTTTGATAGTCTCTGGATCACTTCCTTCGCCTTGTGAATATTTACAGAGCCATCAATTCGGCTCTGCAAAGTCGTACGCTTCAGACCGTGGTCTTGTGCGGCATTTGCGACTGTGTCATGTTGGGCTTGCAGCATTGCAGATCTGAAGAGATATTCACGATCTCCATCCATTGTAGATAGTATAATTAAAAATTGATCAATTTGGAGGTCAAATGGCGATGCAATAGCCGAGTTACAAGTGAGGGTTGAGATGCATGTAGGACGAGGCGGGGGTGACGAAGTTGTGGACGAAGTTGTGGGTCCCCACTCTAGTTAATCTCCACACATGAGATGCGGGTCGGCGGACGCGCAGGATGCCCGCGGATTCGCGGTTAGGCCAGCACAGGTGTATTGAAGGGCTTGGGCGGGTTGGGCCCGTGAAGTGGAGGCAGGTTGGATGGGTAATGGACGGACTGCCCTGCAACTGCGGGGGGGCGTGAGCTTCATGGTAAGTATATTTATTCAAGCCTTTTCTCTTCCTTGGTCTGTCGTTTGTCTCTTCGGACTGGAGACGAACTGGTGCTGATACGTGTGTGATCACCAGCCTGACATAACGATACCATATGGATATACTAACTCCAGAGGTTGTTTGGGGTTCAATGAATATTTTATCTATAATCCTTCGCATGTACTCTTTACGATACTTATTTCGGGTGAAGATTAAGAAGAAATAAAACGAAAGACCTTAAATTATCTACGAAACGACATTGTCACCCCTCTCGCATCCGATGGAGACCTTGAGCATGTTCACCCCTGCTAGTGCCGGCGACATGGTGCGATGAAAGAAGGAGAATTAAAAGATGCGTCGGATGCAGAATGATATTGCCATTGTTTCTCATAAAACATGAGAAGGTGTCAAGGAAATCAAGATCTCAAAGTGTGTTTTTTTCAAATCAATAAGTATTTTCTCTTTCTTGATGGCGCCCAGGCATTCGTGGCTACAATCACTCTTCCGTCGCCATAAGCGGCACTGCTAAAATGGATCGTCTCCAGACAGGGAAAAGAGGGGACCCAAGGAAGACACAAGATCAGAGATCAGACAATGCAATCGTCATTCCAGCCCATCATCCACTAGGGTCATCCTGTGATGGAAAACTCGCTCATATTGCCATATTTTTAGACTTTCATCAATCTGCCTTGCCATAGCCCCTTGCGCCCTGCTAAGGCGGTGCCGTGGTGCTGTCGCCGCCCGGAGTCCCAATGACGCCATCGGGCATCAATCGGTAGCTGCCTGAGTGATATCCATCATGGGTGGCGGAGTATATATGTGACGCAATAGAACTTATCAGTTGTTGTAACCCAAAACGATGCGAACCATTTACATCTGAGCTTCCTGGCGCACTTTGGACTCGTCCACTCCCGTCGTCATGTGGCTGCTCGACGCGAAATCTGTGCGACTTGACCGTATAGACGACGAGAATCAAGTCCCACCGTATGCAATTCTCTCGCATACATGGGCTAATGACGAAATATCATTCCAGGAGATGAGAGCTGCTGATACTGTCACCGATTTAACGACAAAAGCCGGATGGTTGAAGATAGAAAATGCCTGCCGATTAACCTTGGAATATGGACTCAGCTATGTCTGGATCGACACCTGTTGCATCGACAAATCCAGTAGCGCTGAATTGCAAGAAGCCATCAACTCCATGTTCAAATGGTACGAATATGCAGCCATATGCTTTGCTCACCTTGCCGATGTGTCTGCAAACGAAGATCACACCGACGAGGGGTCCGCCTTTCACAGATGCCGTTGGTTCAAGAGAGGCTGGACGCTACAAGAGCTACTTGCTCCAACTGAAATCGTCTTTTATGATAAATGTTGGAAACCAATCTCTCCCAAGGCACTACTTCAAGACATAATTGGGAGCGTCACAGGCATCAAGACGTTGTATCTCAGACCTACGAATGGATCTGGAGGCGCATACGAGAGGCTATCAAGCGCAAGTATCGCGGAAAGAATGTCTTGGGTGGCTGAAAGGGAAACGACACGGCCAGAAGATTTGGCCTATTGTCTCCTTGGCATTTTCGATATTAACATGCCTATGCTCTATGGAGAAGGTATTAAAGCATTCCAAAGGCTGCAAGAAGAGATTATGAGAGTCAATGACGACAGCTCCATACTCAGTTGGGGGTATCAAGAACTATGCAGTGATTGGCGCCTAGACCCGGCTTCCATTCTTGCGCCGCACCCCTCATTTTTCAGGAATTGCCGGGATATTAGGCCTTGTGCACTTAAGGGCTTCAATTCAGCTTCATTCACGATGAACCAAAGGGGGCTACAGATGAAAGTTCCTGTGCGGGCCGACTTGACACATAAACAACTTGTGTACATTATTTTGGGTTGCGCGCCTCGCTCGGAGAGAGAATGGTCTATTCAAGAAGACGACTCGCAGTCTTTTGTGGCGATACCATTGGTCTCCACAAGCGCCTGCGACCAATTACGGATGCATGGTGTACCTCAGAAGGGAGAGTACCTACGGCCGAACTGGTGCAGGCCGGCTCTTGTCTCCGAAGAATTCCTGGAGCAGGCGGAACCGAAGGAGCTAGTTATTCGACGACCCTCCGAGCAACATCAGAAATTTCGGGAATTGCCCCTAGCCCTTGCATGCCCTCCCATTCCGAATAATGGTTATACCATAATCGGGACTTACCCACCTCAACCGATAGGAGGTCAATTCACTTCTATTCTCCAATACCCCTCGCATCAAATAGCCCCTTGGGCTAGGAATATCCAACGATCATTCGAAGTTGAACAGAAAACTGGGACAACCAACATCAAGCCATTCTTGGTCCATTCTGAAGAAGATCAGAGAATGATTCACATTAGGATTCCATCGCTTGGGGCATTTCTTGTCGTCTTTGATTATAAGGCAGTGGTGTCGACCATAGGTCCCATTCCTATCTGGCAGCGCCCTATTATCGATTGCCGTGTTTTTCACTTTCCGGAACCTTTTCGCTTGGAAGCCTTACATAGGCTAGTCATAACCCAGGATTTCACTCACCTCAAAGAATTGGACCACCAGTGCAAGGGAGAGCGTTACATTTTTGGATTTGGTAATCACACTGAGATATATCTGGAAATTGAACTATCCAATATGGAGAATGCATCTCAAATTACAGATATTTATATTCGGGTTGTTCTTTCAAGGAACCGTCGCTATATCGAGCTGCTGGATATGCCGGAAGATACTTTGTTGAGCTGGATAGACCGACGGAGGAGAAGGGCACAGGTCAATCGCCAGACCAGTCAGAAGATTCATGAATCTGTCCAGCGAACTTTGCGTGGAATCTTTCCAAGATATATGGGACCATCTAATCGATAGTGAAGAAACACGGCTGAGCTTACATTTTGTGAAGGACGAACTTGGTTGAATTTATGTACTGCAGCTGCTTTGACTCCTTATATGAGTAGATAATGTTTGATGCTGATGTCGCAACGACGCGACTTTGAAGTTGAAGTCAGCGGCAATCGCCCGCGCAACCATGGGTTTTCTCCCGAAGCCAAGAGGGCAATGCTCGCCAAGGCTCGAAACCACTACATCCACTCCACTTTTGGACTAAGTAGAGTGGATGTACGATTTATTAGGCAATTACATAGTGGATGTAACACATATTCGACCGGAGTGGAATGGATGTACACGTGGATTTATAAGTGGATTTTTGTAAGTGGATTTTTAAGGCTATTCACAACCTCGTCGACGCCTATTCAGCCTCACTTTCAGAGGTTGACACTAACTCTTCAGCCTCTTGCTGCTGTGATGAATCGTCAACCTCGCTGGCGCTGTCCTCGCCCTCGAATAGCCATTTTGACTCAGCAAGAGCCAGCTCGTCGTCGCTTAGAGTCCCACAGCCGGCATCCAGCTTACTTTCGAGGTGTGACTTAAGCAATGGATCCAGGTCCTTGATAAGGCCAGCACGGTACCAAGAGCGTAAGACCTGACAAATGGCGATAATCTCAGCATCTAGGTTCGTACGCAACCCCGAGACCATCTTGCCAGCAGCTGAAAATAACCTCTCACACTCGGCTGACATCGGCTGGATCGTCAGGAAGTCCAATGCCATCCTGGATAACCGAGGATATCTGCCTTGCTTAGTGATCCAGTAACCAATTAGATCACGAACGTTGACGTCGCTGGCGTCACGATCCGTCTGCCACGCTTGGTACTCGTCACCCACAATAGCTGCTGCGTAGGCTGGTATTGAGCTTGGCAGACGACTGTTCTTCTCGAAGGGATTGAAAAACCGAGGTCTTTTTGCTGGTGGTTCGTCGTCGCCTCTGCTGCTGCTGGACTTAGTGATGTTGTACTTTTCGTACAACACGGTTGTACATACATACGTACAAAAAGAAAAAGTACGTACACGTACTGCGTACGTACAATGAGGGTCCATGATATTCCTAATAAGGGAATCTGTGGGTCACATCGTACAAATACGGGGCTGTACAAAAACTCTGCTCGCTTAGCAGCTCAACGCACTCTACCATTCTCTCCCAATTGAAGGTATCGCCAAAAAGATGGCGCCCACCAATGCTAACGCTGCCTTCGTTTGGCGACAGTTTATCGATCTCGGCCGCTCTAACTCCAAGAAAAGCAAGCGGTACAGATGCCGTCGCTGCCAGAAGGATTTTGCAGCGACCTCTGTTGGGAGGCCGAAAGAGCATCTCGCTGCGTGTGAGAAATGGCAAGCCAAGCAGCGACAAGAGCGTCAAGCTCAAGATAACGCTGGCTATCTTCCCTCATATTCTGAAGCTATACAAAAGAAGATAACCGAGGTCGGAATTTAGCATATCTCGCAAGACGAGAGTCGCAGTTTCGCCTATGATGCCGCCGCTGCTGTAATCGCCGGCGGCCGCCCCTTCAGCCTCTTCGAGAGCCGCCGTTGGCGTTATTTCTTCACTCGCATTAAGCCTGGCTGGAAGCCTCCTAGCCGCGCCGTTATCACGAGAATTCTGCCCGATTTCTATCAGGAACTCTATCATGAGGTTTTCAAACGCATTACCAGCTCAGAATGGTTCAACATCATATTTGACGCTTCCGATAATGTATCGGGCCACAGAATCGTTAATATCTCGGTACAACTACCAGACGGCCCAGCCTTCTACTGGAAAACGTTTGACACGGGAGAAGAACAGCACACAGCGGAGAATTGGGTGAAGTTGATATGGGGAGAAATGCAGCAACTGTGCGGCGGTGATCTCTCCAGAATCAATTCCATCTGTACAGATACCGAAAACACGATGCGCTCTGTACACGACTTGCTTGGGAAATTCCCAGAACTCTCACATATCATGCATATATTTATCGACAAGATAAGGTTCAGACATACTCCGGATAAAATGCACGAAGCTGCCGGAAAGGATGTTATCAATCGCATGACTGATCTTAAGGGACATCATCCTGCCTTAAATGGTTCAACAATACAGCAGAGGGACTTTTGTGGCTTCTTGCCAATTTTGAACTTGACGACTTTGCGGCCGAAGAGTTCTTCAATATAGCCATCTTTGGGATTCCTCCGTTCAGCATCCACAAGCTCAGCAGGTCATGCCTCAGCGTAATACAGGAACTGGTAGCAGCTGGCGAGCCGGACGCCATGTCGCTCACCAGGGAATACGGTCGTATCGTATGCAATATTAAACATCAGGATAACGTGCCAATTATCTACATTCAGCACCGGCTTGCCGTCGATATTCGGTGGCCGGTGGCCGAAGCGAGGGATCAATACGCGTCGATAATACTGGCTGCATATTATCTGCTAGTAGAAGGTTTTAGAGCTGAGGAGTTATAGATCTAAATAAGATTCTTAACACACGCTGTTTTCTAACATAATGCTGAAAATTTTCGTCACTTTAAATGGGTTCACACTATACTAGACACTTTAAGGCCTCGACGCTGAGAAGTTTGAACTTCAGCACTATGAGAGTCACACCTCAACATGGCTCAAGCCTCGAAAACGACTTAGTTTCCGGTGGGCGATGGATAGAACGGCCCCTGGCTTACTGGAAACTTCCTTTCAAGGCTCATCCTGACGATAAGATCCAGTCGGTAGTCTGGGTACCTGATTTGGACGGATTAGCAGAACAAGAATTTCTCAGACTGAGAAATGCTCGCATACTGAGAGATTTGGTGAAAGTGGCGCAGTATTGTGTCGAAATATCTTGGTGGCATTTTTATATGCGTATCTCACCGGGCGATCAAACTTGCTCCAGACTAGACGAAGCTCCCTGGGATAATGAATAGTCCCAAGGCCAAGTGTGTCATTCATTGTTCCCAGTCGTATTATATGCCCATCCCATCGTCATAGTCGCCCACCAATCGTGAGACACGGCCTGCTGGCCCTCTGCATGTCGTGTTGGAGGTGGCATCACATTACCAACATCAAACCCCGTATCCCACGCAGCGATATAAGCCTTCACGCTATGGTCAAACACCGGGCATCCCTGAATCCCCGAAGATGATGGCATCGCCGCTGTCGCCTCCATGGCGGCCTCTACTACCTTGGTATGTAGCGCAATCCGACGGTCGTACTTGTCCTTGACGACGCGCAAGACGACGCGACCGGCAGAGAAGACGTCGACCCGGGTATTGATCGTGATCAAGTCAGATCCTTCGCACATGTGTGTCAAGAATTCGTCAAAGCGTAACTCGCTTCTCGCCCAGGCGTCGTCCCAGCCGGGGAGCTCGGTAAGAGGAAATGAGAGACGAAGGGCGGCGATGATGGTGAGAATGAACTTTAGCCAGTCACTGCAAGTCAAGGCATTGAATGCCGATTGCCCTAGGTCAGAGACGAAGTCGAACATCGTCCTGATTTCGGCGACGCAACATTTGAGCTTTGGTATTGAAGGGGGAATGTACCCGGAGGGCCTGTTCTTAGGTTGTCCTAAGCGAAGTAGAGGGCCGCCGGCAAGATAGATTCTAAAGAACAGCTCCGAGAACTTCACTGGCACTTTTGGGCTATTAGCCTTATTTCAGCAAGTGCAATTGGAGGATTCTTACCAGAACGAGCAATGTGAGGGAGCATGCACTGTCGAAGCTCTCGACTTTGGGCCTCCAGGCCGAACAACACAAGCTGGCTCTGTTGCTCACTTGGCGCCGTGCTCTCATGGATCGCGCTTTTAGCGGCGTTGGTGTAACTCGCAAATCGTACGAGATAACTCAAGGCGAAGTCGCCGTCGGCCGCTGCGCACCGTTGGAGAATGTCACAGCAAATAGCGGTCCAAGCAGTGAATGGTGCCATCACGTCCATCTTCCTCCAGGCGGATATGAAGCTAGGGTTGGTTGTAAGTTAACGGCTCACCGGTAGACGAAGTTCTAGTGGAAGACGTACTTTGATACAACGTAAAACCAGGAGAGATATGCGCGGACCTTTTCGAGTTGTTCCTTCGTCACCTCAGAGTCGAAACCGCCGTTGAGCTCGGGCAACTCTTGATCGAGCTCCATATCGCGAACCATATCCCCTGCCATGCGGACATACCGAAAAGCTTGCCTGTTTTTAGGCCTGAGATGGAATGGATACCTATAGTTGTAAGCCATTTACTCGTTGAGATGAGGTTGTGAGACATCTATCACCAAGCACAGTAGATGAGCATGCCCTGCAGAAGTTCAATGCTCCTTTCCCCTCCAGCCACAACCTTGAGGCCCAACACCTTGCGAAACTCTTCATCGTAAAGGTTATGCCCCTGAAGAGTCCGCGATCCAGACGCGGCGGCCAGGATCGCCAGCAGAACGAAGGGCCGAGAGGCAGCAAGGCTCAAAACCGTTACTTCGGGCTTAAGGTCAATGCAGGGGAAATAAGGCAACATTACACGGAACGATTTTAGTAGGTCGTCGGCAGATTCGAGGTTGAATTGGGGTTTTGCATGAAGGGACTGGATGGAATGGCTGTGAGAAGACAGCGGCGTCCGGAAGCATGTCATCGGCGAGGAATGGAGATCATTAAAGTCCGAGTCCGGCTCAGAAGGAAATAAGTTTTCGATGAACTGTTCGTGAGTGTCACGTAACGCGTCAAAGTTCTCGTCGACTTCGGGCAGAGACGGCACGTCAAAGTCGATGGTGAAAGTCTTGGATGCGCGGCTTGCGGGCGGTGGTCGAGGCTGCTCCGCACCACCAAGGCTGATTATCAAGTCAGTATTCGTACCCGAACTAGCCCAGAGTAGTGGACCGAGACATACAACTTCGTCCTTCTTCGGCGAGTGCGTGGGCCTGTTCGTGAGATGCATTCTCTCTTAGATTCAAGACATCTAGATATGGATCCGTCAGTTCATCTTTTGCCATCGGCACGTTATTCTCGTCTTACTTGCGGCAAACTCCAGGCTGTTCGCTCGGCCGACATTTGATCTTGGCCGCTCTGCATGCCTCACATGCTGTCGATGTCATCTTCCGTGCGGAGGTACTGGGTTCTCCAACAGGATAGACACTGCCTGTGTCTGTCTCGAAGTGTATTTCCATAGATACAGACAGTGGAGATTACGATAGGCTGCCGCGCTCCAACGGCCTCAAGTAGAGTGAGATGCCCCAGGAATTCAGCAGGGTTCAAGCACCTTCAACACAGCGATGCAAAATTAAATAGTGTCCGGGTTGGACAGAGAGGGACAAAGAGGGACAAAGATGAAGGAGATCCAGGGGACCCCAGATCGGGCCAAAGACCCGCCGATGGGTCTCAATTATCGCCGATGGGCTTCGGAACTTAACCAAAATGTCTCCACATAACGATCTCCGTCTAGTTAACGTCCTGTCGTCTACTCCACAGCCACGGGACAGTGACATAATGCCTGCACTAGACTGTGAGATTGAGCCACCTTTACGGCGATAAAGGTGTGCGGGCTCTGCCAACTATGGTTGGCGGCAGGCCATCGGCTCGCCGGAATGCGCACGCAGAGTAATCCGTACTCGGTTATTAATCGTCCCTTTCTGCGTTTGGAATCGGAGGCTATCGTGGCCCGTAGCATGTGATTATTAACCACCCATCTGTGCCGTGGAACACCGGAGGTTATCGCAAATCTCCCACTACTCTTCCTTCACCTTGTCAGCCATTACTATGCTTCGAACTTTCGACGCGCTTTGGGCGTCCGCCGTGGCTTGCATTAGGTCTTACGTGGATGCGCGAGGGAATACAAACGTTCTGTGAGCACCAGACTGTATTTCTAATCAAGGTGGCGTACTATGTCAGACGGAACAGAGATATCACATCGCCGACTTCGGCAGTCAACAGCAGACGATTTTCGTATGTTTCTTATGGACTGTTATTTTCCCGGACGGACTAATAGGCCCAACAGCTGATCTTGCTAGCAGCCCAACAGCTGATCCTGCTATCAGTGGGCTGATCACGATCCCTGCACTAAGACATCTATTGTATTCCAATTCCTCGATAAAATACGGCCCTTCAGGCCGTCAATTAGATAGAAATCAAGCTCTTCGATCGTCACCAAGCTGTCTCAATCAATCCATCCTGCTGATATACTAGACGTTCAGAATGAATACAAAACCTCTCAAGACCTGGCTAGAAGTGTCGAGATCTTGCTACCTGCGCAGCGTATTATTATTCAAAGGCAACCTTAAACCAATACCACCGTGAGAGCCGCTATTCGATCTTGAATAACTTTTCTGAGAAGCCATGGCAAAGACCGTTGCGGATGCTTTCGCGGCCCATAAGTCTGTTCTCCCCTTTCCCAGGCTAACGGATTTCTAACGTGCAGGGAGCGTAGCCCGAAGGACTTTGAGCCATTTCCTTACATCTCTGAGTCTAACACGCCCGGGTCCAAACCTCGCCTCACCATCGTCGGCGAGTTCCGCCCTTTCTGCCTGTATTTCAACTCTGGCTAATTGAAGGCCCTTCTGGCTATCTAGTGGCCTGCATAGACCCTCGCTGCAGTGTTGACAGATTCATCGGCATGAACGTCGGAAGTAGCACCGGAGAGAGTGAGTTGTAATGAGAAGAGGCCCAATTCGGGAAGCTAACAGTGCTGATACAGTGGTGATGGTCTCTTATCACGTTTCGGGGTCATCCTGAGACGTATAATAACCTTATTTCCGGCTTTCCTAGACAACGCGACTTTCCTTTCTCGGACCACATCGCCGGCCCTATGACCACGATTCCGGTCCCCGGGACCCACAGGGCCCCGGCCCCTGTGCGGCGGCGACGGACTGCCGCCTCCGGCAGCAGCCGTCTTCATCATGTATAAAAGACGGGCTCTAGGCCCGTCCCTTAGCTAGAAATCAAGAGCTTTCATCATCATCATCCTGATCCTATCCACTCAGTGTGACATCTCTCGCAATGCGGGCGGTAATGTCCGATTTGCTGCCTGAGACATTCTACTGTTAGACACCGCGTTCGGTATCGACGAGGTTGTTATTGTCCACCATACCGATTGTGGGTCTCTAAAATTCACCAACGAAGAGTTGCGTGAGCGTACGAAGGCACGAGTAGACAAGGCTCATTGGGAGGAGATTGAAGACATCGACTGGGGTGCTAATACAGAGTAAGGGCTCTAAAAGCTTACTTCTACAGCAGCATAATTACTAAGAGGCGTAGCATGGCGGCTAGTGTTAAAGGCGACCTGGAGTGGCTGCGTGGCAACAAGGTTATCAGGCAAGAGATTAAGAGCACTGCTAGAGGCTTCCTCTTTGATTTAAAACTGGTAAGGCTGAGGAAATTAAGATCACTTAATTTGTGCCAGCAACTCGCTCACCCTTGATAGAGCGGACAGCTATTTCAATAGTTAAGATCACTTAAATCATGTCTTTCTCTTTAATTCATTCCGCAACCTAGGGTAGTGTTAAAGCAGTGCTAGCGTGCAGTGAGCTTCTCTATTGTCCGTTGTAGTTTTCAACACCATGAACCCGCCGCCGCCCGCCCTTATCGGACGCGTCATAGGGTTACGGAAAGGAACTGCGCTTTCGCTCTCTTGTGCCTCAGGTTAACCCTACATGTAGCCAGAGAGTCTTGCAACAGAGGGTGTCGTCGTGCCACTCTAGGCTCGAAACGAGTGACATTACAAGCCTATTTGAGTCACTGTACGTGTGAGTGGTGTAAGGAGCCTGCTTAGCTCAGACCTGCTACTGAATATTGTCAAATACAATCAATAACCCGGAGAATTTCTCCGCGTGATGGATATCGTCTACCAGCTTTCGGAATTCTTCCTTTCCGGTGCCCTTCCCCTCTTTGTCAAATTCAAGTCTAACGCCGAATGACGTGTTTTACGCTCGCCGTGTTAGCCGCCTCGAGGTGATGTTAATTATACACTCGCTCGTGTCGATAAGGTTGCGTAGCGTGTCCTTGGCCCTGGACACGGGGCTAGAGAAGCCCAAGATGAAGAGAGGCAGATCGTGGGCCAGCATCTAGAAGAAGGTAAACGGCGCGAGATTGTCACTCTTGCCTTCCTGAACTGTTAGGGAACCCCCCAAGCCGTATATGTGTTTTTTTAGACCTCCGGCGCTTGCTTAGCATCTCGTTTGCCTGCCGTATAGCTTTGACCTGTGAACGTAAGAGAGCTACCTGGTACATGATGGCAGTTGTACCTTTGGCTAGATGTTCAACGGCCTGTAAGTCCTACGGTCACAACGGTCGACTGAAGGAAGATTTAACAGAACTACATCATATTGGTCTCTTGTAAGGGAGGACCGAGTTGGCAGCGACATAATGCTGGCAGGCACATGGGTTACAAATTACGCCATAAGTCGTAAGGTGGGCGTGATGAGCACGTAAAGCAGTCGGTGTAATTTATCACTCGCCCGGCAGGGTATTCATATATCCATAGCTATATTACCTGTGCTCCTACCTGTTAAGGCAATTGCTTCTCGGCACAAGAAGGCCGGCAATGAATAAGATGGATCTTGAGAGGACCAGGGTATCATTCACTATTTTGGGATAAGATTTATTAATAGGCTTTTTTGCGTGCTTTTGAATGCACTCTCTTCCTGTCCATGATGGCTATCACGATTCATGCACGCATTTCCCAAAGTTAGAGCACCTAAACAGGTATTGAAGCCCTTTAGATTAGGGCGCTTCCCCAATAGTGCATAGTAATGGACTATATTGAGGTTGCAGGGCGGTGAATCGGTGGTGGCAAGAAGAATGACGAATTAATTTTTGACCTTCCATTAGCTGCTCCTGATAAGCCAGTGTAAATGCAGCAAATTTCTGTGGCTACGAAACACTTCATAATGAATCGTAAGTTAAAGACAGCGGGGCTTTGGGACTTATAGCTTACATTCATCCTAATTATTAGGCGGCATCTATCATTATTTCAGTGAAAAAAAGAATGATTCAACGTTATTAAAGTAACGTACATGATAAGCGAATGTCCCAAACAAGCGAATGTCCCAAAATTCCCAACCTCTAAGATTAAAACCTCAATAAAACCACAACAATATAATCAATCAATTAAAACTAATCGCTATACTCTTCTCCAGAGGTCTCAATTATAGCCTGACAGGTCCTTGCATTATGACCAGCCTTTCCATATGTTCCACAGCGCCTTTCCCTCGGCGGCGCCGACCTTCGTCGACCACTACTTCTCGATGATTCAGCCACTACCTGCGCATCAACGTCTCTCTGATCTATCTCATCCCTTCCCTCATCTAGAGTTATCTTCCCTCTATTCTGTAGGCGTGTTCTTTTTGCTCTGTGCTGCTTACTAAGGGTCTTATTTGCCTGTTGAAGGATCTGGTTTTCAGACTTCAATAATACTATCTGATACATTATTGCCTTTATTCCCTTAGAAAATAACTCGAGCGCCTCAAGAATAGATGCCGGAGAGCTGCTTTAATGCCTCCTAACTCGTCTTTTGAGGTATTCGGACTGCAAGCTGGCCTCAAGCACAGTCTTTGGGGTCTTCAAGACCCAAGGGTTAGGGAGGCTGACCTCCTCCTTAACTGGTGTTGGAGTCTGTAGCTGCATATTAAGCTTTGATATAACATTTTCTGGGTTTAAAGGAGCAAATCCGGCTCCTCGAAAACCCCCTTTGATATTACTCTCTATTATAGCGGCTTGGTGGGCAGTATAAAAGACTGGGAAGAATTTAGTCTTTAAAATGTAAGTTATAGAGTATTTAATTAACTGCTTAATTTCTTAACTATAGGCTTTTTTAAGTAGCTCAAAGCACCTAATATTAAGAAGTTAAAGTAGATAAGATAAATAAGGCAGTATATAAAGTATAATAATATTATTCTATTTATAATATTTCTTAAAGTCAACTGAATAGTAACTTTTATGCTTATTAAGGATTAAAAGATAATAGCAACTAGTTAATTAATTCTTTATATACTAGTTAAAGTATTTAAGCTATTTAAGATCTATCTTATTGTTAGTTTAGCTATTTTAAGTTATTACAATAGCCTAATTACTCAGGAGGTTGCTTTTCTAGTACTAGCTGGCGAGGTAATATTAGCCTATAATTACAATAAATAGCTGAATTGCCTAGCCTTCTATATTAATTGCCTAAATAACTATAACCTATTTTTAATTTCTAGGCTAAATTGATTTTGAGTTTCTACGCCTATCTATACTTATAATAACTATTTTACTTGCAATTATACCTATTATAAAGCCAGTCTTATTAAAGTTATAGATATCAGCTAGATTAATATTATATTTTGCAATTATATTCTCTATAAGCTAGAACTAATTGCAAATAATAGTTGGATCTTTGCATTTAGCCCTTTAATAGTTGTATTTAGGAAAAAAATGCATCTTAAGCTCTAGTTGTTGCCTGACGAAGTTAGAAGCCCAGCACTTGCCGACAGGTAACGCATCGCAGTTAGCGAGCAGTCGGTTAGCCATTTCTTCAACACCATACAGTCGCGGGGGAAACCCTCGGGAATCTAGGTCGAGAATGAATTGGACAATGATCTGTTCCTCTAGATCGGATAGCTTGCGTGACTTAGGGACAATATCGCGTCGAGACTGCATGCCTTTCTGGCGGCGCCCTAGCCTTTTATTACAGATATGGTAGATTGATGCAGCGCGTCGGATGCTTAATGATGGATTGTTTTGAAGGGCTTGAAGAGCAAGAAGGATATTAGCCTCTTTATTAAATTGAGACATGTTTGGTGGTGGTAAATTAATTGATCAAATGGAAGAAAGAGAGATCGAGGGATTTTTGGGACATTCGCTTGTCTGGGACATTCGCTTATCATGTACGTTATATGAGGATAAACAAAATAAATAATTAAGACAGTATATCATCTAATCTCCCTCGGTCTAGAACCTAGAGTCTCCCTCAAGCATCACCCGCCCCTCGCTGGCCTCTGTCAAAAAGTTTCTTGATGATGCTGGAATCAGCAAATCCAACTGGCCCTTTCATTGTCCCGTCGAATACAGCCCTTGGTCCAATGATATCGAGAAGCCAGACAATGAAGGCATTTGAACCCTTCCAGACGTATTGATTCTTTGGTTGGAGAACCTCACTCACAACCTGGCGAGCAAAGTCCGCAGGAGCCAGAGCATTCTTGGTGTGGCTCACGCTGCGCTCTCTCACCTTGTCTTGCACCTCGAAATATATGCTCTCGGTACCGAAGTTGACGTTGCCTGGAGACATAAGAGCAGTCGACACCTCTCCCATGAACAAAGTGACAACCCTGATGCCGAGCGGGCTGAGTTCGAGTCGGAGAGTGTCCGAATACGAACCGACAGCGGCTTTGGTGGCGTTATACGCCGAAGCGAACGGATAGGGCAATCTTCCAAGGATGGATGCGGCATTGATAATGGCCGGCGCAGTCTGGGAACCAACTACTGCCTTTAGCAAGAGAGGTGTGAAGACTGACACCATCTCGAATAAACCAAAGATGTTGGTATCAAACATGGCACGAACATGTTTCTGATCAGCCTCTATAGCAGGGGCTTCGTACACTATGTCAAAGGTTAGTGGAAATAGGGGAATACGGCAGACAGCCCGCCAGACGACTTAAAGGATCACGACGTACTGGTGCCTGCATTATTGAACAGCATATCCAGTCGGCCGTCAGTGAGCTTGCTAATCTCATCTTTGAGCGAAGCAATACTGGCAGAGTCCGTGACATCCAACACAAAAGTCTCAATGCCCTTCTCCCGTAAGTTGCTCAGAGACTTCTCCGATCGCGCAGTGGCGAAGACTCGCAGTCCTCGCGCAGCAAACTCGAGTGCCAGGGCGTTGCCAGCCCCGCCAGCGGAATAACTACAAACTAAGTTAGATTTTGTTTCTGGGTGTACTTTGTAGGTTACGGAGGAATGTTGGGATACGTACCCGGTGACGAGGACTGTTCGTTTCTTAAACGAAGCTGTGTTGGCCATGGTGAGGTAGTGGTTTGGTGCTAATTGATAGGACTGATTGGTATAAGGATGCAAGAACTGTTTCTATATGGGATATGGCGGGTTGACTTATACCTAGAGATCCGATTCCTCGTCGTTCCAGTGACGGTATCTTTATATCTTTTTGCGTTCCTAATCCTGTTCCCTTTCGAATTTTGCGAACGGCGCATATCCGTCAATTCATATGTATTAGCCACTCCGAGGTTTGCCGCTTGATTTTAACTTCCGAGCATGGTCGGAACTTAAAGAGTGGCGTCGGGATGACAAATGGGCCCGGGAATTTAGGATGACAAATGGAAATGATGCGGGATGAAAGGCAGTTGAGTAATCATTTAATTTAACACGGAGATAATTATTTAACGGCAATCGGCAGTCGCCCCTGTAGGGTAACTTGATGAATGACGAGCAATGACAAATGTCCCCCCGTCTTCCCCCTCCCTGATTACCGGTAGTTATTGACAGCTGAGGCTTGTACTATTGTCTAGTTTTAAGAGAGCAGTTTGCACGAAGAGATCCGAGTATCTTAATCATCCCTTGTGATCCTCGTCTGGTGTTTTTCGCTTCCATAACATTCACATTCTCAATCTAATCCTGTGACTTAGATCTTTCAATACGCTCGATAAATACAGCCATGTTGAAGACTGGTCTTATTGTTGGGTCTGGCCGCCAGTTAGTGGCGCTTGTTAACCTCTTGTCGTCTACTAAGTAGTATGATCTCCTCATCTTTACCAGGAGCAAAACCTCGACTACTTCCTTAGATTAGCAGCCCTTGCTAATGTTGAGATTGTCTTTAACTCTGCCAGGTATGGATATGACCTCGATGCCTTTCTGGCTGTAGCATCTAGATTCGATTTTATATTTATAAATATAGATAGCTTCTAGTTTGGTGAGCAAGTAGAGACCTACTGGGGGATCTGCCTATTTGAGCTTTCTAGGAAGATATATATAAAATATTTTATCTATAGTAAGCTGAATTATACTAGTTGGGATTCTAGCTTTAATTCCAGCTTATATATTAGCTACTATAAAAATAAGATAAGAGTTTAGTATAAGTTTCTTAACTTACTTTTAACTTAGGCAATTTAACTCTAAGTATTTATAGAATTTATATACTTCTAGCTTAAATTACTAATAATATAAATTATTATTTAATTTAAATTATATATTAAGAATTTATAGTAACTTATAACTTTAATAATTAATATTAATAAAATATATTTATTTAAACTTCCATTAAATAATAATATAATTTCTTTTATTAACTTAAATAATTTTATTAATTATATATACTAAATATTCTTTAATTTTAATTAATCTTATAAGCTAAATCTTAAAATAACTACTAAATATATTAATAAACTCAATATTATAAATACCTTTATAAATATTATAACTAAACCTACTTAATATATCAACTTACCTATAGAAATATAGCAAGTAGCTACTTAAATAAAGCTTCCTAAAAATCCCAATATTAAAATTAGCTTTCTAAGTATAAAAGACAACGGAGCACTACTCCAGACCTATGGCGAAAACTTCACCGCTTGGTGGAACTTATATAAGGCTAGTACGTGGAATAAGGATTTGATCCAACGAGACTATAAATTCTTGGATAAGATACTGCCCGCCTGCGTCAAGGGTGTTGCGGAGTGGATGAAGAAGGTCAACTACACTGGCGAACGGCTATCAACGCTTAAAATTTTAAACTAGGATAGGGATAAGATTGACAGAGAGTGTGCCTGCGTGGAATAGTGCCGGCAAATACATCAACGACGAGGGTATGCCGCGGCCTCATTGCTTTATAGGGTCTACAGGTAACATGGGAGCGACCGTGAGACGACAAGGGGGCGACCCGAAGCGGACGGTCGTTGAAAGAGGCTGGATGCGGATAACTTCGACTGCATAGCTCTCTAGTTATGTTAGAGTACCCGGGTTTATGCGAATGCAGTCTTCGATCACACAAAACCCTGGATCTACAGATTGGCCTATCCATCCGACCCGAGCAGTGAACACATGTTTGACATTGAGGTTGATCTGTAGTATACTGGATTTGGTGCTAGAGGAAGTCAGATACAACTTAAGGACGGACAGGATACGTAATGTAGAGGCCCCCCACCCCCCAACCGAGCATTTACTCGGGCTAAAGCTAAATCGCTTGAGGAGCGTTGGAATTTTCAAGTCTGTTATCTCTAAACGCAGGACCAAGGTGTCGCTCAAAAACTTTCCAGCCTTCGGGCGTCTTCCGCAGGCGGTCGATAACGGTTGCGAAAAACCAGGTCGACGGCAGCCCGTCATCGCTTAACAAATCCCCGCCAGCAGTAACGCTCTCAGTATCTTTGGGCCAGGCATACCTGACTAAGTGCTGATGATACCTGACCATAACACCGTCGTCATCACGGTCTACAACGTGGTTCATTGCATTCCGACTGATACCATGAATGTAGACTTTTGCGTAGTCCTCAAGAAAAATCTTCATTTCAGCCCTGCCGCGGACTGCGCCACCAATATGATACACGGCGCCGTCTGGGAGAAACGTAGATAGTACTTTCTCCACGTTGAACTCTTCGAAGACAAAGTTATTGCGATTGACGAAGTCGATGGCGCTAGATCGTTCTTCAGATGTTACATCGTTGAGGGACGAAACATTGATAGAAGGGAAAAGCCCGTTCTTGGTGAAGTCAGACATCGTGAAGTTCGACTTACGCTGATATAATCTCATGCGTAGTAGTAGTTGGTATTGGTGTTGGGGAATACATACCAATGTCTGGGTTTGAAACTAGCGTCGCCTGCGGTAGGTTTTTATAGGTGTGACTGAGGCCTCAGCATGGTGAAGAATGAATAAGCGATCGCTAGGGTATTGTCATTGCGCTGCGGCTTGCTACACAGGGTAGCATTGCTACTAAGGTAACGATAGTGTGTTCATTCATTAGCTTCTGGAGCGACACGAACTTTAATAGCAATTAAATCAATCTAAAAAACTCAAATAAAAAACTGGAACCCAAAAAGGACTCAAAAGCTGTAAGCGACAAACTCACAGTCGCATTAGCTTGAGTAGTAGATATGCCGTAGACCATAAGTCACACGACCAAAGCATCAATTGAGATCAACTCATTTAATAATAGCTCAGGAGGAGCCGAAACTGGCAGTTAGGTAAAGTATGTGCAACATAATATGGTGTTACATATAATTAATTCTCTTCATAAAGTGGCGGCAAGTGCAGTACCTCAGGGAGGACTAAATGCAACACTGAAGACTGATAGTGCGTTATCATAGGGGTCCAGATAGGTAGGTCTATGAGTTGATGACTCGTATTCGTGAAGGCTAAATAACATTAGCCGCTGTAGCGTTAAACCATAAGGGCAAACATCAGCCGTCTTGGGGTAAACGTTGCTTCAGGTCATCTGACAAACTGTAAGCTTCAGGGAATCGGTCCGAATGCTTTGATTAGATCAGTTTCTATGTAGAGAGCCCGAATGACATCGGCACGTTCCTTGAGTGATTGATTGGTCGTTGCATCGTGACCCCTCAAGTGACGCAGAGGAAGGTCAGAATGCTATCACCCGAGACCCGCTAGTCGAGGGGGGTGTGCCGCCACTCGTCATTCCATGCTCAAAAGACCACCTCGATAAAGGGCTCTACCCGTTGGCATTGTGGGGCAAGCAAGCATGCCGACCTCGTCCGGAGGTTAGGGGTTATTGAACCTGGCTTGCTGGGGATCACGACGGGGGATCGCGATGACGGCCGCATGACGCCGCATCATATCACTTCCGTTCGTTCCGAGAACACGGCTCAAGTGGGGTGGGGCCAAGAAGTACCATTGGCACACCATCCCGCCTCGGAAGCCTTCTCGTCAGGCCTCTTTTTGTCCGTCTCAGGGCCCGGACATATCTAGCCAATTTTGGCAGTTGGTCTGGGAGTGGCACGACAAGCGCTTACGTAATAGACAAGAAGCTCTCGGGAGCCAATAGGTGCGCACCCGGGTGCGCATTTAAGTTTTTTCACGTTTTAAATTCTATAAAATCAATAAAAATAGTTATAATTATATAAAATCTTCTATAATATATACAATAACAATATCTATGCTAGTAAATTACTACAAGCAATATATATTAAAAATTTATAAAGTTATAAGTTGCTAAAATTCAAGCTTAGTCATTATTATCAAAATTCGCGCACCTGGGTGCGTATTAAAGATATTTTTCGATTTAATAATTAATATTTATTTTTAAAAAATCTATTTCTAAAAAGATTAAAATAATAAAATATGTATTGTATTAATATATATCTTGTAACGAACTTTTGGAATTTTATATAAATATTTTGTTTGGTTATTATTGAAAACGTGAAAATATTTAAATGCGCGCCCGGGTGCGCACCTATTGGCTCCCGAAGCTCTCCTATTTCGCTAGGTAGGTGCCGTTGTCACTTTTTATTTTGTTTCGTTAACGAGCCGGGCAGGGCACCAACGAGTACGTATGGTGCTGACAAATGGTTGTAATAATTTAGGGTGGTAAGGCAGATTTCCCTATGTTCGACCCCACCCCGAGTACCTATTGACAACCAAAGCCCATGCGATTTTCCGGTTAAAAGTGAACAGTCCACGTGAAGACATAAGTATCTTAGCTATGCCAAACTCCACGGCCGATATTTTCACTTAAATAATACTCGCGTTCTCAACCAAACCCTGTGTCTTGTATACAGCCATGTCGAAGACCGGTCTTATTGTTGGGTCTGGCCGTCAGTCAGAGGCAGTCATCAACCTGCTGTCCGCCAAGCAGTATCATCTCCTCGTCTTTACTAGGAGTAAGACCTCGACTACGTCCCTTAAATTAGCAGCCCTTGCTAATGTTGAGATTGTCGTCAACCCTGCCCGACAAGGTTATGATCTTGTTGTCTTTCTGGCTGTAGCATCTAGATTCTATTTTATGTTTGTGAATATAGATAGCTTTAAGTTAGGGGAGTAAGTAGAAACCTACTAGAATATCTATTTATTTAAGCTTTTTAGGAAGGTAAATATAAAATACTTAGTCTATAGCAGGCTGGATTATATTAGTTGCAATTTTAGTTTTAATTTTAGTCTTTATATTAATTACTATAAAAATAAGATAAGAATTTAATATAAGTTTTCTAAGAAATTTAAGTAATATAATTTTAAGTATCTATAGAATTTATATAATTCTAGCTTAAGTTACTAATAATATAAATTATTATTTAATTTAATTTATATATTAAGAATTTATAATAACTTATAACTTTAATAATTAATATTAATAGAATATATATATTTTAATTTTTATTAAATAATAATATAATTTTATTTATCTATTTTAATAACTTTACTAGCTATATATATTAAGTACTCTCTAATTTTAAATAATTTAATAAGCTAAATCTTAAAATAGCTACTATATATACTAATAAACTTAATATTATAAATATTCTTATTAAAATTATAATAAAATCTACTTAATATATCAACTTATTTATAGAAGTATAATAAGTAGCTACTTAAATAAAGCTTCTTAAGAATCCCAATATTAAGATTAGCTGTTGGATTTAGGCAGCATGCATAGCATCTTAGTCATTGAGAGCCCACATGTATGTGTATTGTGCATATTGTCATCTAGGCTGACCCCGCAGCAGTCAGGGGTATTATATGCGCAGTTGACCGCCTTCCTATTCGGGCTGTGCTCGGCATGGTCACTCAAGTGACCGAGGTCACCTGATCATGTGCATGACTGTGCGCACGATCTATTCTAACACGCCCCTTCAGCTTCGCGGTCCTGCCGCGGAGCTGCACTTTGCTTCATAGCTCCTGTGCCCTTTCCTCAGTTCTTCTCTGTTCAATCTTATCCGTCAAGTCGATCAGCTTCAGTTGCTTGAGGAAGCCCGAGTGGCCGTCTCCTGAGAGGTTCTTCGTTAATCCGTCGGCGAGCATTCGGGTAGTAGGCGTGTAGATGACATTAACTCTTTCTTCGATGATTTCTTGGCGTAGCCAATGGTTGTGAATGTCAACATGCTTGAGCTTCGTGCGTAGTTGTACTAGTTCTGCAGTGACAAGGCGGATAGTCTGCTTATTGTCGCATTCGATTGTGATCCTTGCTGGTGTTGCTGCTGCTCGGCGAGCAGTCGGAGAGTTCAGGTCAACCTTCAATGCAGAGATAAGTCGGCTTGCAAAGAGAGCTTCCTTGGCTGCTTGGGAAAGCGCCAGGAGCTCTGCCTCTGTTGTTGACGTTGTAACTGTATCCTGTTTGTTGGCTCTCCAGGAAGTGATCCCGCCGAAGAGCTTCATGACGAATGCCTGAGAACTCCGACGATCCGTTGAGTTATCGGCGAAGCTAGCATCTGAGGCAACTTGCAGTCCGTCTTCTTCACTGCCGGCCGCAGCTCCGTATTCAAGGCAGAGACCCTTTGTTTGTATGAGGTATTGCAGGGCTCTGTCGGCGGCTCTTTGTTGCTGCGGTCCGGGGTTCTGGTTGAACCTAGCTAGTCGGCTTGCAGCAAAAGCTATGTCTGGTCGAGTCATCACTGCCGCGTACATGATCGTGCCGACCTTCCTGAGGTATAGGTTGACGCTGCTGGGGCTCGCTATTGTGTCATGTGGCAGAAGTTCTTCGCGAATCATGGGGGTTACCGTCGTCAGGTTCGGCGAGTCTTCGGGGAGCAGGCGGCGCATTTTATCGATATAAACAGCCTGTGACAACCACAGCTTTCTTGCTCTGCGATCCCGGATGACCTCGATCCCTAGGAACCATTGAAGTGGCTTGCCTCCTTCAATATTGTACGTTGTCTGTAGTTCTGCCATCAGCGACATTGCCTTGCTCTTGATGCGCTTAGGGAAACAGAGAACACAGTCATCCACGTAGAAGAAGAAGATGATATCTCCATGAAGCCAACAGCAGTCCTCGCCAGGCACTCGGCGAAAGCCTGCTTGCAGCAAGCCCTTTTCGAAGTGCTTTTGCCACAGCAGTGGTGATCGCCGAAGACCATAGAGAGCTTTCTGTAGCTTCAGAATCCTTCCTGGCTTCCTGTATCCCGCAGGCATTTGCATATAAATATCCTCATCCAGCTTTGCATGTACAAATGCATTGACTGCATCGTATTGCAACATATCGTAGTCGAATCGGTTGGCTAGGGCCATGAGGGTTCTGAATGACATGCCCGCCAAAGTTGCTGCGTAGGTCTCTCGGCCATCGATCGCTTGCTGGTCGCCGCGTATAACGAGGCGCGCTTTTATCTTCACGAATCTGCCGTGTTTGTCAAGTTTATAGACGTAGACCCAGTGGCAGCCGAGCACTCGTCGGCCTTTAGCCGAGGCTTTTGCGACTTCGATCCACGATTGGGAATCTGCATGACTTTGTAAATGTATTCTTTCTGCTTCAAGAAGAGCCTCCCGGTAGGGATGGCTTGCTATAGTCGCGTGCGAGCTGGGAAGGGTCTGCAACAGACGCCACGGTGTATTTACGCATGGCGGCCTTTCCCCCCCAGATACAGGGCTCTCCATCTGTAGAGGTTTTTGTGCCACTGCTGACGCAGGGCTCTCTAATCTCGGAGGTTTTTGCGCACCTATATCCTTCGTGATCTGAGGGCAGACTTGTCTTCCCCCGCCGAGTGCTCGCCTAGGGCTGGCCAGGCCTTCGCCGAACACTCTGCGGTTACTCGTGCGATGCTTGGGCGACTGGAGTCTCCCAGCTAGAAACGCAGCCTTGAAAGACTCACGCTGCTTCGCTGGTCGATCGGCGAGATCACTTTGGACCTTCCGAGCCTCACTTTGTCGATTTGCGAGTTGGTATGCGGAGCTCTCCTTGTTTTTATTCGGAGCATATTGCGTACCCGCTTCCAACTCGTGCTTGGCCGCTTCCCCACGCCCCTTCACACCTAGACCAGAGGCCAAGGTGTGGAAAAACGCGGCTGGCGGTGATAGGGGAGGTGTTGGGAGAGGTTCAAACTTAGCTGTGGTGTATTCATATGCCCCTTCAGATTCGGGCACTTTGCCAACAGCCTCGCAATTACTCGGCGAGTGTTCTCCAAACAGGTCATCGTTGTCTTCCCCTATTACTTCATCTGCTTCTTCATCAGGTGGCTGTGATAGCCACTGCTCAGCTTGTGCTTGTATCGCTACAAGTTCTTCGATGCGTTGTCGGATAGCTTCGAGGTTCTGTTGCCTTAAATCGTCTCGAAGACTCTCTGTCCGTCCGTCGAACAGTTGCTGCTCGTTGAATGAGACGTCTCTTGTTGTAAAGACTTCCTTATGCAAGGGGTTCCAGACTCTGAATGAGTTGCTTGACGTATAGCCCACTAGGAAGCCGATCCACGCCCTCGGAGCCTGCCTTTGAAGCCGGTTTCTTCGCAATTGTGCATCTGCAGTCAATGCAAAGACCTTGCAGCCGTATGCTCGAAGGTGTGAGAGGTCGGGCTTCGCTGAGTGGTCGCCGCGGAATTGGCGATGGAACAACTCGTACGGAGTCTTTCTGTTTCTGTGAATTGAGGGTGTACGATTATAAAGGTAGGTAGCAGCTTTGATCGATTCCGGCCACAGATATTCAGGCAACTTAGCTCCTGCACGCATTGCGCGGCTTTTCAGTATGATGACTGCAGCGATGCGTTCTGCCCCCCGTTTTGTGCTTGAGTATTCGGGGCCGAAGGCTCGGCGCGTATTCCCCGAGCGGTCAGCAGCTCAGCGACTTGCGGATGTATTTCTGTTATCTCATTATCGCACTCAAACACTTTGACCTTAATGGAGTATTGCACCTCCAACATCTTGAGGAAGTGAGTGATCGCTGTGCGGATAGCGAGCGTTGAGCGATTGTCGGCATAGTAGTCCCATGAGTACCCTGTTGCTCGGTCCGTGAAGATCCATACAGACGTATAGCCTGCATAGCCTGGGGTCATCGGATGGAAATCTAGGGCTATTCGTTCTCCTGGTTTGGGCTGCTCGCAGGTTTTTCATTCGGCTTGTATCTCGGAAGATATGCAGGGTTGCTCCTGAGTCTAGGAGAACACAGTTTTGTAATGCGTAGTAGATGCCGGCTACTAGTTCAGCGTTCGTCATGCAATCCCTGATGATTAGGGCTGCGTTCGCTGTACAGGTGCCGACAGGTCGTAGTCAGGCTGATTTCTCTAGCTTGATCTTTCTGATCCGTCCGACTAGGTCGTCTTCGTTCTCTTCTAGCCGCTTGTTGAACCTTTCGGTTACATGGGACCGCGGTTCGAACCAGTCAGGTCTGTTCTCTGGAAAGGCGTAGAAGCAACGTGATAGTGGATGGAGTTGACAGCATGCTGGGCACTTGGCTTCTTTATCCGATCCAATGCTCTGACGCCGTCTCTTCTTGGTGTTTGTTCGTCGAGCATTCGTCGAGCTATCGGCCTCTTCTTGTGTGCCTCCTCCGCCGTGGAAGGCTCCCTGACTCACTCTTCCTCGCCGTGGGGTCTCCGGCCGTTTAGCGATCTCTCGGCGAATGTCTGCCATGACTGGGCCGACTGTTAAAGTACCTGCTCGGACTTGAGCTATCTGCATGACGCTGTATGCATCTGTCCAAGCCTGTAGGTGCGTTGACTGAAGAGCTGTTGTGAGGTCTCCAAGCCACTGATCGGGTTCTATTGCCTCTTGGAGGCCAACATCCTGAGCCTCGTTGATAGCATTCCGCCATCGCTTAAGCCAATCGGCTGCAGCAGTGTTGGTCTTGATCTTTCCTTGGAGTGGTTCTCCCAAGATCTCGCGGTATGCTCGGCGAGCCCTCTGCTTCCGCTGTTCGGTTGCTAGAGCAAACTCGTCATAGATTGACTGAATCCACTCAGGCAAACTGGTCTCTGGCTTGCAGTGATGCCGAGAGAGGGGTTCATCAAGCGTCTCAAGGACCCAGTTCCTTACGTTCTTTGTTCTGGTTTGGAATTCCTTGTGGCGCTTATTGCGGTGTTCGTAGTTGGCCCATAAGGCGTTGTACACTCGGAGACCCTTCTCGGGCAGCTCGCTGACATCTTGAGCCTTTAGCGTCATGTCGTCTTCATCACCAAGAGTGGGGTCTTCATCATCGGTCACGGCCGTAATGGTCTCGGTGTGATCGCTAGAGACTTGTGATTGCTCGGCGAGCCTTGAGCGAGTGATTAACGCTGGCTTCTTCTTGAATTGAGTGATATCCGGTGGAATTGGGGCCTTTGAGATCAGCTCCGGTTTGTTCTTCTTCTCAGGGTCAAGATAGTCCCAGAGGTCTTCGTTCATAGCTGTAGTCTTCAGGGTCTTGAACCACGTGATCCAATCCTCGTCTGTGACTAGCTCGATGCTTGTGGCGGTCGCCATGCTTTCGGCGACTGCTCGTCGGGCGCTCGTGGACAGCCTGCTGCCTAAAGCGGTAATTGCTGGTAGATATGATTGCGTATGAGACTCTTAATTGTTGGATTTAGGCAGCATGCATAGCATCTTAGTCATTGAGAGCCCACATGTATGTGTATTGTGCATATTGTCATCTAGGCTGACCCCGCAGCAGTCAGGGGTATTATATGCGCAGTTGACCGCCTTCCTATTCGGGCTGTGCTCGGCATGGTCACTCAAGTGACCGAGGTCACCTGATCATGTGCATGACTGTGCGCACGATCTATTCTAACATTAGCTTTCTAAGTATAAAGAACAATAAAATATTACTCCAGACCTATGGCAAAAACTTTACTAACTGGTAGAACTTATATAAAGCTAGCGCGGGGAATAAGGATTTAATTCAAAGGGACTATAAGTTCCTAGATAAGATACTGCCCACCCGCGTCAATGGCGTTGCGGATTGGATGAGGAAGGCTAATTATACTGGCGAACGGCTCTCAACCCTTGATATTTTGGACTGAGATGTGGATAAAAATGACGGAATATTAAGCTTTGGCTCTGGTCGCCATTCTGCTGTCGATGAGCGAGACGCTGGCCTTGGGAATGCATGTCGGGGAGGGCAAGACAAGGTGGCCGGGTGCGAAAAGCGGCTTGACTTACCGAGATATAACGCCGAGAGAGAGCCCAGCTGAGTATGTGTGAATCCCAAATAGAAAAGTTTGGTCTCCGGCGACTCCGTAAGGAAACTGATGTGCGGGAAAAACTGCTGGATGGGATTCGCAGCTCGTGACCAGGGCCGCCGAAGAAGCAAGCGATTCAACCATATTTGCCAAGGCCCGTTAGACTGTATGGCTATTGCGCCCAGACACGTATTTGGCCTATTTATCTCCCGAGCAAGCACGGAGTTGGCCTATTTATCTCCCGAGCAGGCACGGAGCTTGACTAATGGCGCGGCATCTGAATAGTGGAGAAGAGATTCGGCCACTGTGGTTTGACACGACAGACATATTATACGATCGAAAATGCTCACTAATTACGGCAATTGATCAAAGAGAAGGAATTTCAAGTTTAGTGTTGGATACGCAATTTGCTATATGCAATAGCAGAAGTGATTGATCAAGTGATGTAAATTGAGAAGGTTGTTTTTCCATTGATTGAGGGTCATAGGGGCCCTATTTTATACTCAAAGGGATCTAGATCAGGGTGTCAAAGGGAGACGGATCCGGCGTTGTTAACTAGATCCGGCGTTCCGCATCCGGCGTTCCGGATCAGGCTGTCCGGATCCGGAAGTCCGGATCAGGCATATTATGCCGCCACACGAGGTCTCATTCCAACATTTAGCTATATCTCTAAAGCATATTTTGTAACTGTATCTGTATTAGCGCGGACCTAAGTTTAGTGCCAGGCCTCGACTTGGTGTCACCGAGCAATATAACTGCTATAGTATATATTGGAACCTGCTATTACGTGTGACGGTCAAGGTTCCCAACGTAGTAAACCGTAACCTGACTGGTTTATGTTGGCAGTTGAAACGGGGCGTAACGTACTGAGCGTGGAGTGGCGAATCACGTCTGATGATGTCAAGAAGTATTCTTGAGTAATCAAGTTGTATTGAAAGCTGAAGGACTAGATAGACAGGAGATGTGCGAATGAGCGAAACTATATACTTGTTTCCTTTCTTGATGGATCGTGAAGCTCCCCAGATCGTGGCGATCCTGAAAAAGCGCGCTCCAATCCTTATTGGCCCTCGGCTCGAGGTTACTCCGTCCCGCGTTGCCACGCCGATCCAACCAATCGTACCATTATTCGACGTGCGTCGTAACAGTTACGCCCCGTTACAACTGCCAACATAAACCAATCAGGTTACGGTTGACTACGTTGGGAACCTTGACCGTCACATGCCGGAACCCTTACTAAGGCTTCAGCCTGTGACAATAGGTAAATAAAGCTCTTAATAAGCGATATAGAGTAAAATAAACCCGCCTGCAGAATAGAGGGAAGATAACTGTACATAAGGGAAGGGATACAATTAATCAGATAGATGCCAATACGCAGATAATAACTAAATCATCGAGAAGTAGAGGTTAAGGAGAGGCAGCATAACTGAAGGGAAGTTACTGTGGAACTTGTGGAAAGTGTAACGGGCTGTGCCCGTAGGTGGCCTCGGGAACCCTCGGCCTTTCGTGGCCCACTTTTACCTTTAAGCCACCATGACGAGTATATTTATGGATGGACCTCCTCTACTCTCTTTCTCTTCTTCTTCTTTCCTTAAGTTTGGTATACTCTGTAGAGTGGCCTAGCTAGGTGCAATACACTACCTTGAGACCGTTACAGAAAGACTGATTATAATATAAGAACCTATCAGATTATTATTAAGATATCTAAGGAAGAGAATAATAATTAGTTTTGATAAATTAGATGCTTAGTTATATTTTTATCTTAGTTCTTATTTTAATAGTTAAGAAAAGTGTATTGCATACTTATCTACATTGCGCACTTATTAAGTTATATATATTATAAAATTCTCTAAAATAGAACAATAATAATTTAACTAACTATAAAAAATAAACACACTAAAAGTACAGACTAAAAGCACAAGGTATATAAAAACAAGAATCTTCTTAATATTAACTACCTACTTAAAAGTCTTTTCAACAATATCAAGAAGCCGGCTTCCTTCCGGCTTATAGCCCTCGACAAATTCCCTGCCATAATCCACCTGGAAATTGTCTATATCCGCAGAAGTTAAGTTAAGAACATACCAGTAAAACAAGAAAAGGTATATACTGACCATATATAGTCTCGGGTTTGGTCCGGCAAAAGCCACATATAACTCGGCGAATCCCGTCGGCCAAATCCAGGCGGGGAAACATCTCGTTGACAGCATTAAACACGTCCCACGAGACTGTTCCACCTTTATCGAAATTCGGACCTCGAATATCGGCCCTAATCCCAAAGGCACAGACCTTGACGACCGTCTCTTTATACAAGGCGATCGTACCGGTAGTGTGCAAAGCAATGGCATCCCAAACCAACTGGGTCCTGTGATGGTCCCAGTGCTCCGCTCTTCCACTCCGTTGCTCCTCTTGAATCCAGTTACGAGCGGCTTCCGCTCCGTCCACCTCGAAGCGTTTGTCTTGGGAAACAAGCTCGCCTGTGCAGTCCCAGCCAAGATCGTGGAACACAGCGCTGATAGCGTGCGCCTCCAAGTCCATCTGCGGAAGGACACCCTGTTCGTGGAGTTTCTGGTAGACGACGACACCGAGTATCCATGATCGCATCACATGGTTGAACGCGAAGTCATCACCGTGAGCACGAGCATACCCCTGGGCAGCTCGAACAATCGGCGTGTCAACAACCGTAACTCCTGCAATGACTTTTGTCGCGAGGTCGGGAGTTGCCATTTTATTGTCTCCTGCGGAATAAGCTGTTTGGACGCGCGGTAACAGCTGCGTAATGGCGATTTGGGCGAAAGGGCTCGTATTGTTAGGTACAGGCGACTAATAACGACGATAAGACTCCTATTTAAACGCCAGCGAAAACATTACTTCCGAGCACAGATGGAGCTTTGCACTGTAATGACTCATTGGACTAGTAAGCATAGCCAGCATCTTGGTAATCATGATCAATTATGATTAAGCAATGCGAACTCTCGAAAAGCAGGACGTGGTTCTACGATGAATAATCAATGACAGCTCGTCCGGGTCGGCCGGCCTTATTATCAGACGTATTACCCAAATAGGCAATCCCCCAGCCCCTGTACACCATATTGCTTTTGCGCACGCGGCTTTCGTGCACGCTGCTGAAGCAAGATCCGAAGCATCTCGGAGAGTGAGCTTCACCTGTACCGGATATTTTATCAGCAGATGTCATAATCATTGCCGAGCCTAGGGCTGTGTACCGCGCTATCAGCCACGTAAAGTCAGCAAGGGCGGTTGTCATTACAAGAGGAGGCCGCAGGGGGGGTTTACTAATCAAGAGCTACCATTATACAGCATCTGACTTACAATCCGCCCGAGTGATGCTGAGTTCCGGAAGCTCGCGGCGGAGATTACGTACCTGAAAATCATGTCGGAACTAGTTTCCGTCCACTAGTCCACAAGTCGGTGGCTGAATGCAGAGGGGGATATTCGGAATGATGATTATTGCTAATGGTTTGGTTTGTAACCAATGGATTTTCTATCAATTTGCATGGCTTCAGGGCTGATTATGTATATATTCCGTACATGGCCGGAATTTAAAAAACGTATGACCATAATTCAGGTGACCAATCACTGGGGGTTTCGCCCCCCCTGTGATATCTGCCCTCCAAATTCCTTTTACTAGCCGTATTGCCGCTCTATACCGCACTCAGATTCATGGGGGAGGGCAGTATCCTTCTTTTAGCTATCATCAATTATTTTAAAGCCAGCCGCGTAACGGTGGCGCACACTTAGGATTTGAGAGGCACCTATATTCAAATAGCTGCTACAGACCAGCTGGTCACTGATATTAATAAACCACTCTGAAACCGCTCTAGTTCGGAAACTGACCTACCTGCAAATGCCGCGCACGCATCCTGCCACTAATCAATGATGTGTACCTAAGCTCCGATGCGCCTCGGAAGTTAAGGACGGAATAATTACTGATCATCCGCATGCCCCTTTATTGATTAGTCAGATCCGACCACCCAATATTTTCCTATATAAGGCACCTTGCCATTCCATCGTCGTGAATGGTCGCACACATTCATCATATCTCTAGTCACCGACTCAGATATTCTCGTCTCTATGCAATCGACACTAACAACCATGGTGTCGTCAACTGCCAACCCGTTCCCTTCTTTCCCCTTGACCGGGATACAGTTCCCCACAACTCCCCTTGTGTTATCTTCTTACAAACATGCGAAGAAGTACTCGACCCCGGGAGTCTTGAATCACGTTCTGCGAAGTGCGGCCTTTTGCCTCCTCCTCCAGAAGAAGATGCCTGAATTTGCCAAGCTGGGTGATGCACTTGACGTCGAGCTTGTCGTCGTGAGCTGTCTCCTCCACGACCTCGCTTGGACTAAAACGAAGGAGCTTGTGACGAATACAAGGCGTTTCGAGGTCGACGGTGCCAACCTCGCTCGCGACTTTATTGACACAACGCTGGAGAAAGATGGCGACTGGAGCAAAAACGGCCGCCGCATGCAGTTGGCTTGGGATGCCATCGCGCTGCATACGATGGAGGCTTTTGCGCCCTGGAAAGAGCCCGAAGTCGCGCTTGTTCACTACGGCATTCATGGCGACCTCCTTGGGCCGAGCCTGCACCTCCTTGGGCTGCCAGATGACCTGCCGAACCTGAAAGGGGCCATGACGAATGAAGAGTTTAAGGAGATTTGCAACGCGTTTCCGCGCATGCATTTTGCGGAAGAGTTTAAGGAGATTTGCAACGCGTTTCCGCGCATGCATTTTGCGGAAGAGTTTAAGGAGATCTTCTGCGGCCTATGCAGGGACAGGGGACGCTACACGTTCGACAGCACTGTTGTGCACTATGGAATGGAATGGGGCTACGATGGGAGAGGCACTGGAGTTGAAGAGTTCAACAAGGTGGTAGAGGATGCCCAGCGTGCCAAGAATCTATACGGAGTGATGAGTTCGATTGATGAGCTTGCGGATGAGGCTTAGCTAAGACTTTTCAATTTATAAAAAAAATTGAAAAGAGAATTATTTGCTCTATTTGGTAGATACCAATGATCTCGTCTTAGTCGAGTCACTCGTTCAGTTAGTCGTCAATAATGTCGACGATTGTTGCGGCACGCCGTTTAATACTTCTGAGATTCTGAGGAATTTAGTATGCGCACTCGCTGCAGAGGGCGATAATGTCGTCAGATTTACTGGGCTCCTGAGCGGAGCAACCCGTCCCATTCGTCCTACATGGAATATCTCTCCCTACGCATGTGATATGACTTGTCAAGGGATTAGTATTCAATTGGGTGTAAATCTTGAATCCGGTCAATGTATTGATAGGCAATATATAGTAGCTAGAGTAGATTGAGGTAATTAAGTTGCATTGATAACCGAGGAGCCGGGTTTTTAGCGATAGCCAGTCCTAGGACCCCGCCCCAGGTCCTGACGCAGGCCACCGCCGGGCTGTAACACGAACGTCGTAACATCGCCTACTTCTGGACTTATTGAACAACCTCAGGCACATCTGCGATTTACTTCCCAGATTCCTTCTTGTAAAGCTCACAGAACTGGGCTCAAAGGTCCAGTCTTGATGTCAAACACGAACCCTCGGACCGAATCTTTCAGCTCCTTACGGAGATAAGGCGACTTCTGCACAACCTCCAAGTCATGTCTCACGCCCTCTTCCATGCTAAAGCCGCAAAACGATTATTATTATGTCATAGTGAAAGATATTGAGGGAAGGGTGTGGCTGGTAGCGAGGAGCGGAGGAGCAGGGAACGAACTTTGAAAAGATACGGATCGGAAATGCTTCCAATGCTGCAGCAGTAGCGTCAGGGAGATTCTCCTTCAGATACGCATAGACTCCATCCTTTGTCATGTGCGTGACACCACAATCAGTGTGGTGAACAACCACCAGCTCCTTGAACCGGAATTCACTGTCTAGGGTAGCAACATCGTGGATGCTGATCTCGGCTTGACCGCCTAGGTTTCGAATCGCAGCAATTTCTGTAGATCCTCAACTCAGTATCATGTGTCAAGGAAGCATGCCTGAAGGAAGAATAAGCGCGAAACTTACCGCCCCTCCTCCCTTGCATGAATTGCTGAGGGTCGCAGCGAGGGTCGGCACAGGCAACTGCAGAGATTTAATTTAAGAGGAAAGAAATTTAGAGCTAATGCGGAAGGATACGCACTGACGACGGTAGATGGCGAAGTCCATTCCAGTAACTCCGGCATGTCAGGCCAAGGCTTGTGTACGGTGGCGCATAGTTCCTATACACGGCGTGAGACATGTATCTGGGTTAAAAGTCTAGGGTTCAAAGAGTCGTACTTGTTGCGCAGGAGCAGCTCATCGACCGTCGGACGATATGCTGGCTGGTAGTTGGCGGGCTTGCGATCCATGTTGCCAAAGTTATGTTCTAATAGTTCAGGAAGAGCTTACGTCTCGCTGTCGAAGCAGAGGCGTGTCAATGGAATCTCCTGTGGTCACTGCTCTGAAATGGTTTATGTGCATGTGTGCAGAGCCCTCTCACCAGTTGAAGGGACAATGCCTTTTATATATTTGTCACTAAGAACGTGAATTACCATATATATTTACTCTTCCGCGATAGATAGCTGGCGGCACTTGTTGCTATTCTACGGCACGATCATGGTTGGCTTGAATGGATTACTGAACACCTCTCATACAAAAGTCCCGTATCGCAGTTCTTAGCTTCGTTATGTTTAACTCTGGGGGCGGTCGGAAGTTAACTGGTTTCTCTCATGACTGCTTAATATCCGCACCATCGGCGAACTAGGGCCGCCGATATTTGCCGCAGAGCCGACCTTCCGAAAGAAACAAAAAATCAAAGACGAGGTGAATAGGAAATGGACTGTAGTTACGGCGATAATTTGGGTCCCTTTTTTCGAGCTTCCTGTTCGACCCTTCTCCCATATTTGTCTCAGTCGACTAAAGAAAGGGAAAAAAAGGACGGATTACACGCCACCCGACCGCTCCACGTCTCGCGGTGGGCAGCTCCAACTCACAACCTCAACAGGCTCTCCCGCATCAGCCCTTCCCCATGCAGATTTAAGGTAAAGCCATACCCATGACTGCTAACCGTCGCAATGAGGTTAAGGGGGCCTGGGAAATTTAGTGATTAGATCAAATAGAATCCTTCCAAGCAGGGCATATGGAAGCTGTGGTGACTTACGGTATGTAATCGAATTCTCCAGGGTCGGCATGTAACCCTGGAAAAACTACTGTAATTCGCTTTACCCGTTGGCATTGTGGGGAAAGCCGCCTGCCAACCGCGGACGCATTATACTAAGTTCTGGTAATGCTCGGAGGATACCTGTCAGACGGAGGGATCCGGCCGACCGGATGACTAAGGAAGCGGGGGTCTCGGAGACCGTAGATAACGGAAATCCCTCTCTGATCAAGATGATCAATAACAGTCAATCCATCAGTCATAACGACGTTATTAAGGTCGTAATTATCATCAATTCAATCAGCCTATCTGGGCATCATTTGATCGTACATTTCCCTGTGCTAAAGGCACCCAACTCAGACCGTCAGACCCCACTTACGGAGTCACGAGATCTGACAATACCAAACTACAGTATGGCCCCACCTTGCATACTAGTCATCCACCTAGACCAGGTAGTGGGCTTCATTCTAAGACCTTCTTAGCAGATTGATTCCTCATCACTCCACAGGATCAGGAGTATATCCATGTCAGCGCCTGAAGGGTTGGGGTTGGCGGCTGTCGACTGCAGGTCGGCGGGCTGGCCGAGTTGCAGTCGGCAGCGCTTTCGATACATGCCGATGGAGTCTAAACTCCGGCCCTGCTCGGCGCCAAACTTTGTTGCTAATGCAATGGCGCCGCACTTAATCAGCAACAATTACAAAGCCGGTGTAGAAGAACGTCTCCGCCGCTATCCGTCATGACATAACTATGACGGGGCCGCCTGTGTGTGGATGAAAGGAAGCGCTGGGTCGTGTAAGCGATGGATACTAATATAATGGATGCGTTCCTCGGAATGAAAGTGGAATCATTGCAAAATTGCATGATTGTGTGCAGATGTCACAAAAATCTTTGACTATTTACATCTCGAATGATTGATTAGACGGTACCATGGCGTCGTTAAACCCAACCTCCTTTCCGTCCTTCCCTATCTCGGGGATACGTTTTCCCAACTCACACATCATATCTGCCGCGCTTGACTATGCCAAGCGGCACACCACCTCAATCACGGTGAATCACTGCCTCCGCAGTACCGCATTCGCGCTACTCCTACGCAAGAAGCTGCCGCAGTTCGCTGAGATAGCCGACGAGGTCGACACCGAGATGGTTGTCCTCAGTGGTATCCTGCATGACATGGGCTGGGCCACAACCAAGTCCCTCGTTTCCAAGGATAAGCGATTTGAGGTCGACGGGGCTAATATCGCCCGCGACTTCATAATCGCCCACTCTCAGACAGAAGAGGGCTGGGACAAGGGCGGCCGACGATTGCAAATGGTCTGGGACGCCATCGCGCTGCATGGGGTAGCGTCAATCGCGCCGTACAAGGAGCCCGAAGTTGCTCTTGTGCACTTTGGCATCATGGCCGATTTCCTTGGGCCGAATTTCCCCGGCGGCGCCGTCTCCGTAGAAGAGTACAAGGAGGTTGTCGCGGCGTTTCCACGTGTCGGGTTCACCGATGCACTGGTTCAGACCATGTGTGGATTATGCAGGGACAAGCCGGAGACCACCTTCGACAACGATGTCAAGGAGTTTGGACTTGCTTTTGGGTTCGATGGCAAGGGTACGGGGAAAGAAGACTTCCGTAGGAAGTTGGAGGGGATTCATCTCGCAGAGAGGTTCGCGGGTGCGCTGGCTGCATGCGACGAGATTCAGTAGGCAATCGGTTAGTTTCCTAGTGGAGTGGCTAAGAATTGTTCGGCTTTTGCAAGAAGAGTAGACCATGACATTTGCTCTGACGTTTATTTCTCGCTGTCCTGTGATTACACGTGTGTAAGATGGAACCCAAGCGTTTTTGTCTGCCCACACCCGGCCAGTATGACTTCGCGAAGCACCGGCGCTCGCCAAACTCAGATCCCGACCGCAACTACGCTCGACACGCCCCGTAGGCGAACTTTAGCTGTCGAGCTAGAGCTTGACAGCGAAACAGAGTATTTACCATTATGATGTGTTCTGTGCTGAGGTTTGGTGAATTTGAGCAGGTAGGTGGCTGTGGATTATTGTTAAACATTAGGGTGAAAAAATTGTGTGTTCTGTCTTCCCCCTCTGTCTTGAGGTTTCAGGGCAAGCTTTATATATCCTTTCTCTTCGGTATAGAATCAGTTAGAAGCTGATTGCTAAGCCTCGTGGCAATAGGTGGCAATAGGTGGCAACTTTCGCTCTGACGTATCTGGCAATTATCAACGTAGGTATTCGGCTTTCCCTAAGAATAGAGATCAGGTGGCGAAGGATGCTTTGTAATAGTCTCTCAACTTACTAGTTAGATTAAAAATATGAGATCAACCCCATTCCCTAAATGTGAGACTTTTTTGAATGTAGTACGGAGAGGCGTTGAGAGGGTAAGAACAGCTTGAAAATTTGGTCAACTATGGAAGCATTGGGTTTGAAAAATGCTAAAAATTGTGAGAGAAAATAAATGGGGTTTTTGGCTATTGTGTCAGCAACTCGCCGTTGAAGGAGCGGACAGCAATTAGGATAGACCAGGTAAGACAAAGTGTGGACGGGAAATCTAATGTGCCGGGACCACGGGGGGTTAGGACAGTGACGTTTAGAGTGTGCCGGGACAGGGAGAACGTGGAATGTGATGGGGCAATGTAACGCGGCGTGCCCTGGGGCTGGGAAATCAAGAGGAATACAATGGAGGAATGATCATTGCATACAGCACCTGCACACACTGTCAACCAAGCAGTGGCTGACGACACCAATTGAAATCTGGCCGTCTCCTACCCTCGGGAGATCGGTTGGCTATATCTATACCGTGATCCTGGGTTGGTCCCCTCGGCTATGTGGCTGCTTTAAGTTCTCGCATCTATTGATTTCCGTGCCCCTCTTCCCCGAGGTAGATGTCTCGTATCTTGACTCGTACAACTTTTACCATTGCTCCAGACCTTCCTTTTGGTCTGACCAGAGCCCACAGCTGTTCAATTGTTCCATACCTCTGTTACTAGATCCGGGGTTGTGGTTCGATTGAGACAGTTCAGTGGTTTGTGTGTTACAGGCAAGAAATGATCCAGAATTGTTATAACTTGCTAGAGGTATCGGCTATTATCGCGTGTAGAAGGCTAGAATGGCTGCACTTCCTACCCATAAACGGAGGAAACTCCGTCTCATAATTTACTACAGTAACTGAAACCAGTACTAAAACAATTCTCCTTTAAATTGACATATTGATTAGCTACTTCTAGTTCATTATAAACCATAATAACTAAGCAAGTTTAATTTCCTCGGCCTTTCCAGTCTCGATGTTATAGAGGAAACCCCGGGCTGTATTCCTAAGCTCGTCCCTGATAACCTTATTGGCACGAAGCCACTCAAGATCACCTCTAACACTGCCCGCCATGCTGTACCCAAGCATTAGCAAACTTCCTCACCGTAATAGATTTAATACTTACTCCGTATTCGCACCCCAGTTAATTTGGTCAATTTCATCCCAATGACTCTGATCTACTCGCGCTTTGACGGCGTCGCGCATCCAATCGTTCGTAAACATCAGCGAGCCACAATCGGTGTGATGAACGACGATGAGTTCATCGACTACGAACTTCGTGTCTAGGAGGAGAATATCCCGTACCGCGAAGCGAATATTGCCACCGGCATTACGCGAGACCATAACCACTGGTTCCTGATTAGTCTCCTTGCGGCCGACTCTCTTTTCTTTACTTACTTTCACCATTCGACACTCCGAGGTCCAAGCCGATGAACTGGTCAATGCTACACCGAGGATCCACACAGGCCACTACCGGTGTTGAAGTTGGTGAGCGAGTCTCCAGACAAAGCGGAAAACAGACCAACGGGGTTACATACCGACGATGGTAAGGCGAGGCTTGGATGCCTTGTTCATGTCGGCGATAGTCGGGAACGGTTCGAACTCCTGGGGTCTATTCTTATCGCGTTAGGCACTTTTCGTTTGTAAATGGAACATTGCGATAACAGACTCGTGGGCCGCAATAAGATCAGCAACAGTCTCGGCCATTTTGTCTTCCTTGAAAACGATGCGGTGATATATCGGTTCAATGAGCCTTAGTTTATTGGCGCGTGGCGATTGACTAAGCAATTCTTAACAGGATTTGGAGGTTGGTGATGATGCAAATCGCCAATATAAACAGGAGATTTGAGTTCTATTATATAGGTTGTTCCGAGTGAAGGATGGTTACACCAATAACCAAGCTGAGGATCGCCAGAGGCTCCTCCATTCTTTCGTAATTAGCATTACGCAAGTGCCATAGCTATCACAAGGGGAGCCTACAAGGGCTTTCACTAATCGGGAGTGCTATTGCACTGTATCGGACTTTACAATCCACCCGAGTCATCCGAGACTCCTCTGTTCTTTAGTAATCAGTATTATAGAAGTGCCATAGCTATCATAAGGCGATGCTGCAAGGGCTACTAATCCGTCGCTGATTCCATAGCGTCACGGCCGTGGAACTTAAGCGCCGAAGGTGATCGGAGACTATCTCTTTCTATACCTGGCCAGTGAAGTTGATGGATCGGCTTGCGTCGGGAGAACGTGGTATTTTGACCGAATAGGACTCGGATATAAGGTACACGGCGTCGGTGAAGTTGGGGATGCCGGCGTTGAACGATATACTCTCCAAAGTGCAGGAAGACATAAGCGCTAGTGGCAGGGCGGTTTGGGAATTGGTGCAGGCTGACTGCGTTAGCTGAGAAAGAGCGTGAGAAGAAGTGGGGAAATTGATGGGACCAGCGGGTCAATTCGCCAGGGATCAGACGCCAGAAGTTCAATGTGAGCAATCTTATTGATTAGATTTGATGAGGAATCATCATATCAGCTGATGGAGTCTATAGTCCGAACTCGCTCGGGTGTAAACTTTATTGCTTAAGTAATTATACTGTAAACGATTGGTGTGGCTCGTTACCTTTACAAAGCTGGTGGGCGGAATGTCTGCCGCCGGTCGTTATGACATAATTCCATCCGAGCCAGCGGTGGAGGGATGTATAGGGCATAGTAAGCAAGTCATACATGTACCGACTACTCGTGCTCACCCACACTCAGACGTTCTTAAAAAAAAAATTAATGTCAAGGCGATCAGTATTCATCCTATACTCGAATCAATTTTTCATCCCCTGAGCTATAACAACTATGGCCAACCACGCGGCAAAGCGTCTTTCTCGTGTCCGTCTGTCCACGCCTTTTGGAATCACCCACATCGGCACGGCGACAGCCATTTTCCATCTCCCAGCCTTAGGCATTAACCTGCTTACAGATCCTGTATTCTCTCCCGCTGGCACGGAGTGAGATACTGGTGTCGGTATCCTGAGGAATACGGAGCAGGCTGTACTAAGTCCTGCGCAGTTGCCTCCTATCGAGGTGGTTCTTCTCAGCCATGAAGACCACGCCGACAATCTCGATGAGCCGGGCCGTCTGCTCCTCGATGGCCGTAAGGTTCTGACTACCATTGACGGCGCAAATAAACTGGCTCCGCGCCCGGGAGTACGCGGTCTCCGTCCTTGGGAGAAAGTAGGACTCGACATTGGTGGCAAGAAGCTTGAGGTAGTTGGCACCCCTTGCCAGCACCTGCCTGGAGGCGAGTGTACCGGGTTCATTATCCTGGCCGATGAATTTGGCCTAACAGATGGACGGCCGAACGCCATCTACTTCTCGGGCGACACGGTATATCTGGAGGAACTGGCCCAGATGAAGGAAAAATATCATATCTCTGTCGCAGTATTGAACATTGGCAAAGTCATGATTCCGCCCCCAGGCTCTGCCACACCGATCCAGATCACTATGGATGGAAAACAAGCAGCAAAGCTATTTCGAGATATTGACGCAGACGTCTTGGTCCCTATGCATTACGAGTCGTGGACGCACTTTACCGAGAATGGACCTGCTCTCAGGCATGCCTTTGAGGCGGAAGGCGTCATGGACAGAGTTTGTTGGCTGACGCCTGGTGTGTTGCAAGAGATTGTGTGAAGACGACGGTGACGGAAGGGTCGATGGATTGGTCATGCAATTCGGTCCATGACTGTGCCGGCAACGGCAAGTTATTAGTAGGGGCAGATTCAGTTACATGCCATGGGGGATTTTAACTGCATTGAAGCTATTGATTTCTAACAAAATGAATGACTGAAGTTGGTTTGTTTTTATCCTTCCTTAGAGATAGTCCTGTTCATCAACTGTGGCGAGGTTCTCCTAATGATCTGTTGCATCGAAGTTTGATCCCGTGGGTCACACCGCCCGCGTGCCAGAGCCGCCTTAGTGATACGATGTGACATTACTCATGGGCGTTGGAACACCTCAGGTCACTCTATCAGCGTCAACTTCCGTCGGTCATCCTGGCTGATAGATGCCTGGCGGCGATGAATGCTGCTGCGATCTCGTCCTCTTCCTCTGAAGCACTACTTTGCCCCTGGTGTGAAAGGCCTCTAGTGAGTTGATTCAACTAACTAGTCCCTATGCTGTTTACTTTCAAGATGAAGAAAGGAAAGAATCTAAATACAAACTGGGTGCGTGAAGACGCGTTATATCTTCTTTAATATAGAAGATTCGAGAATCAACTCGATGGCGCTGTGGAGAAGAATTCGGGCTTGGCGGCAGAGCCGCCAGCCAAGTGGGCCTGACCCGTTACACCTGGCATGTTACTAAGGCAGTCCTTTAGCACTACCCGCCGCTCTTTATACCAGTGACGCGGTCACAGGTTGGTACGCCACCTCTCCCTTGGGGGTGGGGGCGTTAGGCATGCTCAATCAACCCACCAGGTAAACACCAGTCAACTTGTTGGGGTAATTTCGTCAATAACGTCAGCATGGTTTCAACCACAGTCAACGAGTCTGCCAAACGTAATCTTCCATAAGTTCTAAATCGTCGTTCTATAGAGGGTCACCTCGGCCATCCTTTATCCGGCACAACTTCTTTTCTGTCTCGTAACAGTGAAGTAATGGCCTTGCGGATTCCGGCGAAATATCTCAAGATGGAAGTCAAAGGCTTCCCTGAAAGTGTAGCCAAGTTCAGAGCTAGAACCAAACAAGCACAAAGAAGGCTAGGCCATCCTACACTCTGGCGTTTCCGAGTCCAGCTGACTGTCCAGTCAGACCACGTAGGAAACATGAAGCGAATGGTTTGGTAGGCCATCGAGTACCTAGATTGCAAAGCAGTCAGAGATGTGCACGCAGCTACTTGTTAGGTTTACTTACGGGTATGACATGGAATTGCGGCTATTAGAAGCCACATACCAGTTGGAGCAGCCACCGCTGTTCCATACCATCTTTCCCAAGTCTAACTGTACTTCTTCATTGTAGTTGACGACGGCAGACCGTTTTACCTCTACTGTCTTGGCTTCTCCAGCAAGAACAGGACGCATCAGCCTGATGGCATGATCTACTTGGTTTTCGAGGCCAAGCACGACGCTGCTGTGCCCTGTGAAACTGTTGGGGCCAAAGAGAGGAAATAGATTAGGGAACCCGTCAAGAGCTGTGCCACGATACAATTGTGGGCCTCCTCGCTCCTCGAACTCCCCTTCCAAGGTCGTCCCCTTGCTTCCCACGACCTCAAGAGGATGGAACCATTGGCTGACGGCAAAACCGTTTGTGAGCACGATGATGTCGGCGGGAACCCTGCGAGCTTTAAGGCTCTTCTCTGTCGGATGGGTCTTTGGACCTGGACGTAGAGTTATGCTATTCTCATCAACACTTTCCATCGCCAGAGTTGTAAGCTCAATTCGCGAGTCGTGTAAATAAGGGAACCATGTAGTATTGTAGATACGCTGCTTGCATCCTATGGAGTACTTTGGCGTCAATATGTTATGGTACTGTTCAACCCTGATTAGCGAGGCTCTGGCAACCAAGCTGAACCGCTTACTTTACTCGGAACCGTTTTTCTTATGTGCTGAAGTAGCTTTTGTTCAAGATGGTGTCTTTTCCGCTTGCTAGAATGACTGGCACCGAAGAGCTGAAAATCAAGCTCAGTGACCAAGGCAACCACGGCTCTAAATGCCTGTATGTAGGCTGGTATGTACGAGCATAGCAATGGACTCCATTTTTCGTAGAAGTGATTACCCAGAGGAGGCGTGGCATGGGGTAGCACCCATGGAGGCTCTCTCATGAGCTGCGTGACGTGGCTGGCCCCGTAGTCGCTGTTAAGTAACCGCGGAACCAACTGAGCAGCGCTGCACCCAGTTCCCACGACCACAACATTCTTCCCGCGAAAGTCAGTGTTTGAATCCCATCTTGCCGAGTGGATGACCTTTTCTTGGAATTTATCCTTGCCGACGACGTTGGCGGGCTATGGAGCGGGCTCAACAAGGCCCCCGATAGCGCTGATAAGGAGCCTGCAGGTCCACGTCGTCTCGTTCAAGAAGACTGATGAAGGACCTTTGGTTTCTAGAATCCGTTTTTGTTCCGCACTGGAGAGGTCCCCGAGGCCTGGCAACAACTGGCGAGTTGTAACCTCCCACAGGCTGATTTTGGTGTTCCACTTGCATGAGCACACTTCTGTATCCAAGTACAGCTTGTCCCCCAGTTCGAAGTCGTGGACTACCTTTTCAAGGTACTGACAAATCTCCTTGCCTGGTGCATAGAACGTTGACCAATCCGGCTTTTGGGAGAAGGAGAAGGAATAGAACGGCGAAGGACTGGTGGCATCGTAAGTAGGGCCCTTCAACCTCTATGTAGTGGCTGGGGAGACAAGACTCACATGTCACAGGCTATGCCTGGGTAGGTATTGATCCACCACGTGCCTCCTATGCCCGATTGACGTTCCAGCAGACAGAAGTCGGTGCATCCTAGCTTTCTCTTCAATTGGCAGGCCATAGCAATACCTCCAAACCCCCCTCCAATGATAATGACGGCCTTGTGACGCTGGCCAAGGCCCTCTTCTCCTTGACCTTGCATGACTAGATGTTGTCAGTTAGGCCGATCTGAAGTGGTTTCGTGGGTATATCAGTGGCTGTTCTTGAAACCTTCTGTGGACGAAAAAACGGGAGGGTCCCCCTCCTTAAGTACTCATTCCGTTTCGTGCTTACGCACGAGTGTCGGGATCCTGCGGACCGTCCACTTTCGGGCTGGTCGCACTTCGTTCCACCCTTAGTGGATAACAATGTCTGGGTGTGTAGCAAATCCCGCTGGCTTTCGGCTTACACGAATGGCACTTGACATTTACGGCATCCCGCCAACGGAGGCGGATAACGAGCGGTTGCATAGTAGGACGGGTGACATGATGGCCAAGAAGAGGAACCGATTATCAACAGCTACGATTAGAGCTATTGAGTGTCTCCGACGGAAGGACGAGGAGGAGATAGTTATCTGGAGATCACGATAGATGCTTAATACCAATCACCAGTTGAGTTTTATCTAAGAACCACGAAGTTTAGCAGACTGATACAACTCGACGTCAAGTCCACAGAGACAAAGGCGCAGAATTGTAAATTATAAGGCAACCACCTCCTAGCCTAGTCGGATCGTGTGACTCTAGTCTAAATGACGACAAAGGGAATGAAGGAATCTAAACACTACAGTACAATGCAGCCTATCTGTCATTGTTCCTAATTGGGAACCACTCCTCAACAGCCTTTCAATCACTCCTCAACGGCCTTCCAACCACTTCTCCAGTCCGCCCGTGACACCGCGCGTGAACAAAATCATGGACGCGACGAACAGAACCTACGCAGCAACAGCTTCCAGGTCGAGCTTCTCCCACGGCATAAGAAGACCGCCGACAAACAAGACAGCGCCACCAGCCGTGACAGCCCCAAAAATGCGTCGTATTGTGTCAGCCACACTCGAAACCGCAAGTGCGACCACAACCGGATCGGCAGAGGAGAAAATAGGGGATACAGTCCCCGACAAAGCCGACCGAATATAGTCGTCGGGGAAACCGTAGCCTGCAAAGGCCGACTTGAGCGAATTAAAGCCGAGATTCTGGAAGAGTGACCCGGCAATGGTGAGCGAGATGGCGACAGTACCAATCTGCGCCACATTGATGAAGCCGATGGCATTAGCCCGGTCTCTCTCATGAACCTTGCTGGCAGCGACGGCATACGCGGTCTGGAAAGGAAGACCGGTCCCGGCAGCGAGCAACACCTCGAAACCATATATCTTCCCCGTGCTCGTCCCGACATCGACAGTGAACATGAGAGCGCCACCGGCAATAACCAAAGCCCCACCAACAACGTAGAAGATACTATAGCGTCCAGTTAAGGGGAGAGAAGCTCCCGCGACCATGACGGAGAGTATAAAGACGATGACGAGGGGCAGGAGGCGGACGGCGGCCTGGAGCGCCGTATCACCCCTGGTGAACTGGAAGAACAGGGGGATATAGTATAGGGCGATTCCGTTGGCGGCCGCGGCACCTGCTGTCGTAACATAGAGCAGGACAAGGGACGGGGGCCCAAGAAAATGCAAGGGGAAGATGCGTCGGTCCGGCGTCGTCAAGATACTGAAGTACTGCTGTAAGACGTAGGTAACGAGGCAAACTCCCCACACAACCCACAGCGCAATTGCGGACCCAGAGTTCCACGGGAACGTCGAACCACTGAAAGTGACGACGATTATAAACAGAACAAAAACCGCCCCATTAAGAACCGCGCCAATGCAGTCGATTTCCTGCAACTTTTCGACCTGTGAAATGTCCTTTCTGGGATTGAACGACGGAAAGACGAAGAAGTAAACAGGAGCGAATAGGGCCGCGAGAGGAAGGTTTATGTAAAACGCCTAACAGCAACTCTTAGCTCTGGTCCAAAAAAAAAGTATTTAATAATAATAATAATACGACGTCCACTTAAGTGCTTGATTACTTACCCATCGCCATGTCGCCGCGCTGACCGAAAACGCGCCGCCAATTACAGGCCCAAGGATTGCCCCAACTCCCCAGGAGAGCCCTATGAGAGCGTTGTACAGAGGGATTTCTTTCTTGGTCGCAAAGATAGATATGTATGTCAGGGCTCTAGGTGCACGTCAGACAAATACATTGGATGCCGAATCTCCGCCCTCTTCTCTAGCACGGACTTACCCCAAGTACATTCCTGATCCACCTATTCCAGCGATCACTCGACCGACGACCAACGCATCCGACGTCGGAGCCGCGCCGCATACAGCACTGCCGACTTCGAAAATTGCGATTGAGGAGAGCATCAAGGCTTTAACGTTAAACAGACCGAAGGCACGACCCTAGAGATGGATAACGGCCACCGAAGCCATTGGGAAGCCCACCCCAACCCACGCCGGATTCTCAATGTCCCCGAGAGTCTCGTAGACCGAAGCTTGAACGTCAGCGGCGATCGTCATGCCCAGACCTGATACCGCCTTCTCAGTTTGCGACTCGGACGCGCGAACAAATAAGGGGGAGGGCGGGGGGGCAAAGCACTTGCCGTATAATAGGGCTCCGAAGAATATGCCCAGTAGAGTCACGATCCATCTCCAAGCAGGCATGCCCATTCGAGGGTTTGCTACAGTGACGTTGTCATCCACCCGCTCCCTTCTTCCGCACTGCTAATGCCAACATCGCCTTCTAGCTTGCCCGACACCTTGAAACAAGGACCGCGAGTCTCAACTAGTCGGGAATCTTGATCGAAAACTGGATCAGGTCGGGGGAGCGGCACCGAAAATCGTTTTTAGAAAGGTGGTCTAGGGTCGTCGGCAGATCTTGTGCCCGAGATGACAAATTTCAGTCAAATAATAGGCCATATACGAATTTCCGGCCGCCCTCGGGTAGATTGTGGTCGTTCCTGGTCGTGTGGCGGCGCTCCTGATTAGTAAACGCTTCCGCATATTTGCGTAGTAATTATTAGTTGCTAGAGGAGCCTCCGACGACTCTCGGCACTTAATTTGTAAACCCCCCTGCACCGATGACAGATCGTAAGACTCAATCTCCGATTGCCTTCGGCGCTTAACTTGCATTAGACGCTTCATACTACTTGGACTTTTTGAGATTGAAGATAGAATGAGATTTTAGATTTTACAGTAGTGACACCTCCTGCCTTCTATATGTAGCTAGGCTGGCTGAAAAGAGCGTTCTGTGCACATATTGGTTGATATTAGTGCGAATTGGTAGTTCAGAAGTGGTAGTTTGGGATCTCTGTTACGGACACACCCCAAATTTCAGATCACGCCATTGATCACCCCATACAAATGGCGAAATGGTAGTATGGCCATACTACCAAGGGCCTCTTGGTTAGGGGGTAAGGTAACCATTTTACGATTAGTAACCGGCATACGCACATAACGCTTTGGTAATAACGGTAGGTACACTACGGCAAATCCTAGACTAAATTGCCTGACCCCGGTTATATAACAGTCAGCAATTAGTACGTATCTCTCGTAAAGATTACTTATTAATAGGTATGCTCGGCTTGAATATTTCCGATTTTAGATTAGCTAAATTAATTCTATTAGAAAGCTTCGCCTGTAGCTTACTGGTCATTACGCATTATACTTCCAGCATGGGCCTTGATAAATACTTCCGAGGTAGTTACAAATCTTATGAGTAGTTTCCGATTGCCTTCGGCGTTTAAGTTTCGTTGGCCGGTATTGCAAAATGGCCGACGGACTATTGGACTGCTGAATGTATACACCGTAAGCTGACCCTTAGCAACTGGTAGCTAAGGTTGGTTCAGTTCCGCCTATTGTCATCTTGCCGACATGGAATTACTATATGGGAATTGATAGGGGGGCATGATGTTTTTGATACGGGGGCATGACCTTATAGGGGCATGACTTTTATGAGCTATAATTCGTTTAAATTTTATTTATTAGTGTAACTTGGATTCCGCTGCCGATACTGTAAGTACCTCAAGCTCTCTACATTTCTACTTTAGCTACCAAACTGGCTATAATTGCTTCAGGCGCATAGATGTATTCTCCTGCTTTAATCAGCCAACTTTCAACTGCCTCTATGATATCCTCACCTGGGCTATTACTGCTTGAACGACGTATAGGGCTTTGTAGATTGCGAAGCTCTAGCCCCAGCGATCAATTACATTGCGAAAAACAACAGCGAATAAGTCGATAAGTCAGATTTAGCCCTCTGCTACTTGCAAACTGACCACACTCTGCAAGCAGTATCGCGACGGATATCAGTCAATATTACAGAGTTGGCGATGAAGATACCCTAGGCAATCTCTTTGCTTCTTATCTATAGACTTTCTCAACCTTCCCACAGCCCCATGGCTCGCAGGGTCTCCACGAGCCTGCGTGGGACCTGCGTTTCGATTACGAGATTCACCTCCAAAATGACTTCCCGTCGGGGCGAATATGAAGCTAACGAGTTTGAGCGCCTATTCCGGGCTCTGAACTCGATCCCTTACCTCCCTACTCCCTACTAAAGTCAGCCCAACGGCCCTGAACCGCAACGAGAACCGAGTTTAAATCTGCCATGAAGATAGTATAAGAGGTTGTTGGAGAAGGCCGGAGACTGACTATTGACCTTGCCCGGTTGTGTGAATAAGTGCGCGCATGGCGAGAGAGATAGGGTTGGTTACTGCTTAATTTAAAAGCCTATAAATCTCCTCCGCCATACTCTCTACAATGCAGGTCACCCACATAGATGCCATAGGTATCGCCGAGTCTTGAAGCAATTAATGCATTACCTATCCGACAATCCCCCTTATCTATTCCAAACCCAATTCCTAACCTACTAATTCCCAGCAACCTAGCATTATTAGCTAAAGCTCTCTTTAACTTAGTTAATGTATTTACAAAAAATAATAGGTTTGGAATTGTTCGACGGAATGCTTATTCCTATAAGGGACGGCAGATAAGATTCTCTTTTTAGTATAATCAATTTGGACAGCTACGGGCTCCAAGAGGCACAGGCCTTCAATAAAGGAAGTCTTGGAAGTATAGATATTAGTAGATAGTAATTGCTAAAGCTCTAGAGTATGGCAAGTAGCTTCTACAATAACACCCGAGCCCGGAATATAGTTAATATAACTATAGACGCAGTATTAAGCTATCTGCCTACCTATTATATAGGCGACTTACCTTACCGATAAGAATAACAATTGAATTGACAAGCTGTTGTATTAATATCCGGGCCCGAGATATATATGCAGTGGTCGAAGAGCAGCATTCCGAATTGCAGTTCACATAGAGGGATATCTATAACACCCGCGCCCTTATCAATTGGGACAAGTTAAATAGCTATGCACCTACTGCGGCATTAATTAAGCTCTTCAATGAGATGGAGGTTCCCTACCTTGTTAAGTGGGCTGATGATTAGCCGAACTATCTACTTAGCCTTGTCTGGATGTTTCCCTACTGCTTCTAAATATAGGAGTAGTTCCCTGAGGTTATTAGTTTTAATAATATATATAATACTAATTACTTTAAGCTTCTCTTATTTTAAGCTACTAATTAGACTTATTTTGAGACTATCTTTAATACTACTTTCAGTCTAATTAACAACAAGAAAAGAAAAGGGTTTTAATTTCTTACTAAGAGTATTTGCCAGCTTATATAGCAGCACTTTATCCAGAAACTGGAGGTTATTGTAACTAACTTTAATAACTCTATAAAAGCTACCCTAAATAATTAATTCCCTAATGTATAGCAACAGCTTTATATTCACTGTATCAATTTAAACATCCTACTTAAGTTAAAGTAGAAGTAGGTTAAGAATTAGAAGAGTAATAATAGTTCTAATGCTAGCAAATAGGAGGATTCTACCCCTTAGATATAGGCTGAGCTTAGTACTATAAATAAGCAGCTAGTTTATATGCTAACTGCCGATGCAATTTCTTATAGCTACTAAGGGGTTCTTATAATATAGAAGCTTATTCTCTTTGCTAAGACTGAGGAGACTTATAAAAAGACATAGAGAGACCTCTACAAGGAGTTTGATAACCAGTAAGCTATCTTATACTATCTTTATAGCACCTACTTGCCTGTAAGAACCCAGTAGGCATGCTACTTCATCTACAAATATTATAACTTTGGTATTTGTATTACTTCAAGCATAAAAATAAGTAATAACAATATTAAAAGCTATCTTCTAAATGGAATAAGCTACTTATTTTGCCTTGTCGAGGCAATACAAAATATAATAAAAAATTAAGAACGAGACTTCAACGATACCTATACATAGAATGAGATCCTTACTGCCTGCGAATACTTAGGGCTAAGTAGAGACTACCTGGGTGAACTTTAAATAGTGATTTTATTGAAGGGTTTAGGGTTAATTAACAAGCAATATCATATTGCCTATAAGGCGATGCCTACTAATAAGAATCCCTTCCCAGATCCTCTCCTAGAGTGCAATAATAACTACTCTATTTCTATCAAGCTTAGAGTTTCTTATTATTATAAGATCTACTTAAAGTTGGGATCTGCAATATCTTTTACCAAATGGGACGTTCATCCACGCTAGCAACTATAAGAATCATCATCTTAAGATCTATACCGACGCATCCTCAACCCTAAGATTGCCACTACCCTACGTAGCAGGCCAAAGAATACTACACAGCCTATACCTATAAGACTGGCAATTGGCGGGAGCAGCCAAGCCGCCAGTCAGCTTGCCAATAGACTAGCAAGCCAGCCAATAGGGTATATATAAGGTCGGCCAGCTGAAATTTAAAATAAATCTACACTTGCCAAGCTTGCGCTAGAAACAAGCCAACTAAGTAACATACAGGCCAGTAGTTAGGTTAGTACATCAACCTAGCGCCAGACATATAGTTAATTAGCCACTCTCGGATCTGGAAGAATAACAAGGGTACGTACTAGTGGTTGGAGGATGCAGCCTAGCATCCAGAGGACGAGGAGTCAATGGGAGCTAGTTAACAGTAATGAGGATATTCTTCCTTCTATAGTGGTTAGAGAATAGAATGTCGGATGTTTTCCTACGAGCGAGCAATAGAGCGTTTATCTTATAGTTGAAAGTAAGACCTCTTAATATGCCCCGATATGTTAAGATCCAGAGGGTCAGGAAGACTTCAAGTAAGAAAAAGGTGCTGTTAAGATAGCTAGTTACACCGCCTTTGTGAGAAAGTATTTATAGGTCGGGGAAAAATCAGCTAATAGGGTGTTGTAAAAAGTCATGCCCCCGTAAGGTCATGCCCCTGTATTAAAAACATTATGCCCCCCTATCAATTCCCTACTATATAATACTTTTCCTATCTGGTAAATACAGGTTGCTTTCAATCACTCAATCAGTTCTCCTCGAGAGTAAGAGGACCTACTTTTCTCTTAAGACTATCTTATTACTCATTAACTTCTATTATAAACTACAGCAAAATTTCCGATCAAGTCCGCCAAGTCTTAAAGATGCACCTCAGATGCTTTGCTCTGTTATTTGCAGCTATCGCTACTGCACTGCCAGCTATTCCAGTTACAGACATTAGCACCGCAGAGACCCATGCCGCGCCGGAAGCAGGGCTCGTGCTACGAGATGGCAGTACTGGTGCCAACTTGGAATCGAGGTGGAAGGCCGATTTAACTGGCAGAACTTTCGTGGGCGGAGGATGGACTGTTGTCATCAAGCAATGGACGCCATTGGTTACATCTAAACTGCACGCACACATCCCAACAAAGGCAAAAGACATCACTGAACTAGGGATGATTGTTTGGCGTTTATTTACGCGAACCAACCCCATGTCTACGCATGCCAGCGAAATTAATGATGGTTGGCTCATAGAGGCTTGGGCTGGAGACCAGCACTTTCCTATTCACGACTGGCCACGAGAGCTTGTATTGGCGCTGGTAAAGGCTGCTTGTTACGCGGCTAAGGACGATTACCCAGCCAATGGCTTTTTTTATGAAATTTGGTCGGCAAATTATGGGGAGGTTTTACTAAGGCTTACTCTAACGCCGAGGTTCGACAACGGGTTTTAGATTGGAGTCACTATTGACCAGTTGAGAGGGCTACCGGAAGCTATCTGAGGCGACTGGTTACCCCTCGGCAGCCATCACGACCAACCAACCGTAACGGGATGAGCACGAGGGTGGCACGTCTTGTGCTGTTCGCGCCCTGGCCAGGAAGCCCGGTACCCACTGATATTTTCCTACCTCTAGGACTTTGCTGTTTTTCTCTTTCTCTTTCTCCTTAGCTTTTAGATACTTGTTGTTACGGTACAAATCTAGCAAGACCGAGCGCGATAGAAAATGCACATATAACTGTACCTAGCATTAGATAGTTCAATTCAACATGGACTCTTATATAAGTTATCAATTGATATATCTTTATATTTGTGACTTACTTATGTGACAATAACTCTCTCGAAAGAGCTCTTTATTATACGCACTATACTGATACAGCAGTTAGAAGAACAGAGGAAGATATTAATAACGAGAAAACAAAAGACGGAACTGGTGGAAAACCAGCCCCTATGTCGCTGCAGCACGTATCTGGACCAGTCGCTGAGCGAGTGGTTTGGCTGGCGCTCGATAGCATCCGAGCAGGTTGTTATTAGCCGCAGTCCGATACATACAGCGCCTTTAGGCCGCCTCTCCCCCAGGGGAAAAGTGTAACGGGCTAGGCCCTGCTGGACAAGGCAGTGCCTTGTCCTCTTGCTGGACTGAGCACTGTTGCTCCGGTGACGACTTAGTCTATTTTGTCGCAGGATTTTCTGTCCCTTTCTCTTTCTTTCTTTCTTCTTTCCTCAGCTCGAATGTAAAACGCATGAGGACTATATAGCTGTAATTTACACTATTAGAACCCTTCACAAAAAGCTTCGGGAAGGTGCGCAGGAAGAAGTCCTCGTAAAGGCCGCCTGCAAAGTCCGCACCTAGTTCCACCAGGATGAACGGCTGCCCTCCTGCAACTTGTACCTATATCACACACGGCTCAGCCCCATCATCACCCCGGGCCCGACTTTTCTGGATAGCGTCGGCTAAGAATGAAAGTTTATCGGCCTCCTCGAAAGCGGCTGGCCCGTCAAGGGGAAACATTCCGGACGGCGTCGTCTTATGGATGACCTCACCGTCGCCGTCGGCATCCTCTGGGTCAGGATTGGAAGCACAGGGAGCCCCGGGCAAGCAGAGGTCCTGTTCGTCTGACAAGGTACCCCCGGGAAGGCTGGAGTCGTCGCTGGAGTCGTGCCTAAAGTGGGTTTGCGCCGATTCGACGAGCTCTTCGATACCGGTACTCGTGACCCGGTTCTCTTCCAAACCTCAATCGGTATCTGGGACGATGTGGTCTGTTTGCGCCTTCTCGGCAACGGACGGCTCCTCCTGTTGCATGCTGTCTATGATGAGGATAGGAACATCGGAGCCGTCTGCGTACTGCCAGCCATCTATCTCACCATAGGTATCAGCAGCAGCATCATATGGAGATCATGGGGTCAGGGAATGACGGGTTGTTCAGAGAACCAAATTTTTCCAAAACAAAGTAAAATTGGTACATATAATAGAGCGATAAAATCATAACCGAATGCATCTAGTCCCATAATTTTTACTACCTTATGGCGTAAGTTATTGTAGTTTGAAATAATTGTCGGATTGAAGCTCGACAAAATGGTTGATGATATAAGAAAGTCTTGGCTTAGATAAATTCCGAATAGGAAAGGCGTCGACCCACTATAAAGTCTTGGCTTAGAAAAAATCAAAAGTAGAATAGTACAGACCCGCTCGAAAAGTCTTAGCTTAGAAATATTCAAGAAGGGAATAGCTTTGTATCCTGGTGGGTTTTGTATCTTATTATATTATATAGAGTATAATAGCAGGGTCGTCTGAAACTTATTGCCTAGGAAAAAGTAATAACGTCGCAATAGGATAAATATAGTAAATCCTTCACCCAATTTAAGACGGCTTGACGATAGTATATTTATAACGAAA